TTATTCTCTATTTATATTTTTATCTTTATTCTTATTCTTATTCTATAGCTTATAGTAAATTAAAGATTTAAAAACTTATATAAAATATAAATAGTAGCTTAAATCTAATACTAAAGCTATACTAATATATATACTAAATAAGTCTTTAACTATATTACTACTCTTTTATATATTCTTTTAGTGTTAGTAAGTCTATCTAAAGCTAATCTTATTACTAGTTATATTACTTTACTTACTAAAGCTTAATTAAGCTTTTTATTATTACTATATTAATTACTTTTCTTTTAAATATATTACTATTACTACTTTTATAAGTTATCTTAAGATTATTATTTTAAAAGCTATTATAAAAGCTACTATAAACTACTCTATTTTAGCTATACTAGAGGCTATTATAAGTACTTTATAGTACTATTTTACTAGTACTTTAAAGCTATATACTAAGCTTATTAATATTTCTATTATTTTTAGTTTTATTATTTTTATTTCTATTATTTTTATTATTTTTATTACTTTTATTATATATATAACTAGTATAAAGTTTTTTTTTTTTTATAGCTTTACTTTCTAAAAGCTTATTAGTAAAATATATAAGCTTTTTAGTAAGTATAATATTAGTTTCTTACTTACTATAATAAAGTAGTAATACTACTTTATTATAAAACTTACTAGTACTAAGCTTTAAAATACTTATACTATTTTTATTTATAACTTTATATATATAGTAAAGCTAAAAATAATACTACTACTATTTTTAGCTATTAAGAAAGCTATATATTAGTAATATAATATTTTAGCTAAAATACTTTATAAAAGTTTTAAGATATAAACTAAAAAAAATATAGTATTTATAGCTTATCTTTTATAGAAAAATACTATTTACTAAATAGTAGATATAATAAACTACTATAAGTTCTATTAATATCTAGAGAAATAGTTATTATATTATAGTTATTAAAGAATACGTACTATAAAGCTATTAATAGATTTATAATACTAGTATTTCTATTACTACTATATTATATAGTTCTTAATTACTACTTAAGCTTAGAAGTTATATAATTAAGTAGAGTATTAGTTAGAAGCTTTAGTACTAATAGTAATATACTCTAAGTTTATTAAAATTTTCTAGTAGTTCTAAAACTAACTAGATAGCTAAGTATTTTTTAATATCTTTTTATTAAATAGAGTCTATAAAATTAGGCACAAGGCACTGTTAGCGTCTTCTTACGTAACAAACATTACAGCCTTCTTTATATCTATCTTTCTTCTCTTGCTATACTATTTACTATATAAACTGCTAACAAAGTAGCATTGCAGGAGAAGAACAACTTATGCGCTAAAGCTGCACCTCTTCAGCTCCGTTTACGGGCTGTACGGACTATTTTAAGGCATCTTAGGTTAAGTTCGACAGGGGCTATTTGGATGACTTTAGCAAGAGCGCATCGTCTCAGGGACAGCGCCTCAAGATCATCTGGCAGCATGCTATAGATCTCTGGGAAGATGCATGGTGGAATCCTGGTTGCCGGGAAGATCCGGGATATCGAGTAGAGAACGAAGACAAAGAATCGAGAATGGTGCGACGCCACATCGAGAGCCTTTTCCAGTAGAAATAGGTAACCAATGAGGCTTTTCCGAATAGTCTAAACCTCCGTTTCCCTCTACAGCCTGCTATCTCGTAGGCGTTTATCACTTGAGGCTTGAAGGGTGAAAAGTTCCGGGGCGCGATTGCAGCTTCGTGTTGCTTTAGTTGCTCTACCTCTGAAAGCTCTCATACTTCACCATAGCTATCTACCTCTCTACCCCCTGTACAGCCCTCGGAATCACATACGCGGCCCATTTCTCTTTGCTATCCGCCTCTCTCCATACATCCATTTCACCTGCAACTCCATTCTCATCAATCTGCCAATCGCCTCTCTCCACCATACCCGTCCAGCTCTTCAACACATCGACAAGACTATGATCATGCGGCTCCTCAAGCGGCTGATATCCAGGACGATACAAATCTACATGGCTGTCTTCACCACCCTTTTTTCTCCCAAACTTGCTGCCATCAGTCCTCCTTGCATAACCATTTGCTCCAATACCAAAAGGTAAAATCAACCTACATTCGTCCTCGGCTGTCGTCTCCCAATGTGGGACAAGATATAGGCCCGCAGTATGGGTTCTCATACGGTCGAATCCAGGGAATGGATTATCTATTTCTTCGCCAGTGACAGTGTTGGGATTGAAGCGAAATAGGAGGATAGGAGGCCGGTCGGAGGTAGACGAGAGATAAGAACCGAATGGCTGATCGGAGAATATGGAGGTAGTTACTTCGAGACCTGGGGCTATGTTTCGGAAGCGTGGGCGTCGTGCCTGTCGGAGGAAATCGTAGATGAAGTTATGGGGAAGACTCATGCTTTGAAGTATGCTCTCTTCCACCAGCCCATGTACAACTTGTTCAGCTTCTGCGTGCTCGGCCGTGGAAGGCATCCGAGTTTCGATAGTTTCTACTAGACGATTGAAAGCCTCCACATTCTCTTCCAGCATGGATTTGCTGTACGGGATAAACTCCCAAGGGTCGTAGCGCTCATTGCCAGATTTTTCGTGTATAGCTTTGGGCGCAGCAACGATCTTCCCTTTCCGAATCTGGCCCAGCCAGAACTCCAGAGCGGTTTCCAATGGGTACCACACTTTCTGTTCAAAGACCTCATCTGCGTCATGGATGCTTGGGCTCAAGATACAGAGGTTCGCTTCTTGATCATATCTGTACGACAAGATTAGCACATTCCGGACCAAGACCGTATGCGGCTGTCTGATTCAACTTACACCAGTCCGCACCAGTGACCCGAGAAGTTGTTCATCTCGTAGAGAACCAAAAGATTGCCATCTTCTCCATCGTCTGACCAATCTTCCGCTTGCTCAAACATGAAGTTTGGCGAAGCGAGATTTTGTAGCCAGTAGAAGAAGGATAGATCGACTACACTTTCAGAATAACCAATAACTCGAGCTTCTTTGAGAAACCGAACAAGATCAGGTGAAAACTGGGAACGAACAGCCTCGGCATCATCGCCAAAGGTGTCGAACCATGTCTTGCAGGTGGCTTCGAGAGACTCTGGACTGCGACCTGAGCTGACCCAACCGTGGCGCAGTATTTCGTTGTGTAGCGCGATGCATCTTTCGACATTCATGATCAACAGTTAAAGTGAGACAGCAAGGGCGGGACCTCATGGCGCGATTGGGAACGACATTCATCGTAGCGCGATTTTTGCTGTGCCTCAGTCCATGTGGGGTGTAAGAGGCCACCGTGTGCACGACGGCATGAGACCAACATACACTAATCCCTGAGCGGCTAGTACCAACAGCGGTGTTATGGAAGGGAGGCCTTCGCGCTGCAAACAACTCTGAAATGCTTTTCAAACGCCAGGTAAATTCTCGTTGATTCTCCAGCGATGAATCGAAGTGCCTACGGCTGGTGACATGACTCGCTTTCCATCCAGCCCTCACAGGCGCAGCTCGGAAAATCAACTTCGAAAAGACAACACCACTTCCTTAGCGTCCTCTCCCCAAGCGGGAAGCCGCATCTCCGCTTACACCTGGGTCGCAGCTGCTGCGGTTCTCCTTGCGGCCATCGCCGCGCAATACTTTCTCGAGCCTCTCCCCTTGGTTAAAGCCTGGTACCAGATTAAATCACTCCATGCGACGTCTAACATATGACGACTGGTCCGGCTGGCCTAGCAGCTGTACTCACCAGCGCGAGTCGTGCCACCACTAGTCGAAGGAACAGACCCGTGGACACTTGCTTCACCGTTGGCTAGATATCCGGGTACTGGACCCCGGGGTGGCAGCTGGTGCGGTACTTCTTGCAGCTATTACCGTGTACTATCCCCTCGAATCTCTCAACTCGTTCAGAATTTGGTACACGTTTGACCCCACAACCAAAGTCACAACTTCACGACGACGACGAAGAATATGTCCACACCAAACGGAGGTGACCTCGCCACTGATTCGGCGCGAAATTCCTTCCATCACATTTCGGCCGCGCGAAGGGACAGAAGCTGCGGTAGAGTCTCGCCTGTGAGGAAGCCTGAGACTGCCGCGACTGCGTAGGGTCAGGCACGCATATCGATAATCGACGGTTGATGCATCGTGCCCAGGTGGGGTTGGGAAACCAGCTACTAGTAGGAAAGCCTTGGAACTGAATATAAGTAAGAGTTCCGAAAGACTGGAAAGCTCTTTCGATGTGATTGACAGCCTCTTCTTGCGAGACTTCTTGCGGTGATAGGCATCGAGGCGTTGGGGTTCTTCTTCTCGGCGCCCTTGGTAGATCTCGGAAGATGCGGCACGGCAAGTGCGCCCGCGCCGCAACCAATGTCATGCCAAAGGCATCCATTCACATATCTCAAGAAACAGTCGCACTTAGCGACAGACCTTAAGTTCAAGTCACCAGACAAAGTTGCTGACAGACTCGCCATTCGAAGCTTTCTAGCTCGCACTAGTTGTGGGGTAGGCCTCGGCTTAATGTAGCTTAATCTCGACACCCTGCCAGATCGGCCTTCCTCCATTAACAAGCCCGCCATCATCTCGTACCTGTATGGACTTAAGTCGCCGGCATCGAACCATGTGCCGCGGACGCGGTGACGAAAACCGGGTCGCCATCTCCGCGTCTGGCTGAGACAAGGCGCAATGTGTCCCGGACCGTTTGGCCGTTACTAGGTCCACAACTATATGTGAAAAGGCGGCGAAAACATATAGATTGATTGAGAATAGTGGTCACGCAGCGCACATTGAGTACGTGCTCAATGTAGAAAGCCGGACATGTGCCTTTTCCCCGATATTGATGTGCAGCGCTCTAAGCACGAAACGGACGCCTCGCCTCCAAATTCGGGTCGAGATACTTTGAGCATTGGCTTGAGGCGGTCTTTATATAGCGTCATGAACAGCTCAGCTGTCGGTATCTCAACTGCCAGTTGTCACAGTCTCTCCAAAGAAGGACCCTTTCAGTTTCAGTCGTCAACATGTTCGGAAAGGCAGCTATCGTCAACGCGCTCGTGAGCGCCGTGTCCGCAGGTTCGTCAGCTCACATATCGCATGTTACATTTTATTGACTAGAGATAGGCACAATTCTGTGGGATGGTCGCTTCAATGACATGACCACTTCCTCCGATTTGGATAAATGGTCATGGGCAAACCAAGTGGGCAGTAAGTGCTGCAGTCAAGCTACACAGCTAACACAGCTGACGTTCGCCTTTTTCTCTGCCAGACTACCAGTACTATATCCACGGCTCCGGCGCCACCACCAAATACGTAAACCTGTCACCGAACTACAAGAACTCTGGCGACACTGGCAGCAAGCAAGGTGCTAAGATCACGATCGATAACACGGCCAAGTGGAACAGCGACATGTGGAGGACAGAGCTCATCCCCCAGACGAAGGCTGCTATCAACCAAGGCACAGTATACTACCATTTCTCGATCAAGAGATCTACGACCAACGTTCCAAGTGCGACGAACGAACACCAGATCTGTTTCTTCGAGAGCCATTTCACCGAGCTTAAATATGGATGGGTCAACGGAGAGTCTGGCACTAGCAACACCAACTTGTAAGATGATCTAAATGTATCAACTCAAACTGGGTTTGATACTAATTCCAACGCAGGCAATGGTTGGTGGGTGGCCAAAGCAAGTGGAAGGTCGAGCTCAAGGCCGACGAGTGGCATAACGTCGCTTACGAGATCAACTTCTCTTCCGTTAGTCGCATTCCTGTACAACCTGGCATGAAGCATGTACTGACTTTGTACACCAATCTCTAGAACCAAGTCACCTTCTGGCACTCTACCGGCAACAGCACGCTCACCAAGACTGCTGGACCTTTCTCCACCAGTACTTCTTCTAATGGTGCTGACTGGCATCTTGGTGTCCTTCGTCTGCCCCGCCAGGGTAACGATGGCACGGGCGCCGAAGACTGGTTCTTCTCGGGGACGTACATTGAGAGCGGCCCGCTCACAACGTCCGTTGCTAGCCCCGCTGCATGAACACATTTTACTTTGTGACTGTAGAGTCGGAACACATGTATATATTGTCGCACTTTGCACTTGGAACGTAGCATTGTAGAGTTGGAATTGTATCATCTTATCCCGGGAGCTATTAGATCCCGAACATTAAAAACTACGCTGTCAATTCCTCCTTCCACCTTTGTATGCTCATCGCAACGACGAGATCGACCAATTCCGCCCAATGCCATCTTCTTCGCAGATACTTCAATCTACAGCCTTGCCTAAGCCTCTATCTTTGGAAAACACCTTGACATATACTAGTAGTGGGTCCATTCTGATGATCTTGGCATTCTGCTCGTACAAAAGCGCTCTTGGTACTACCAACTGAAGACAATGTTCGGCGTCCCACTTGCTGCACGAGTAGCGACAGGATGAAATTCCGCCCAGCCTTCAGTGCTCCTGCTATGACACTCTATCAGAAAGCGGGGATGCATTTCTGCGTCGATTTGGAGACCATATAGATCCTCAAAGCGGTAATCTGTGACTTGCTGGTGGATCTTTTGGATCCATAGTCTTCTCTTTCCCACGACGCTGTTGTAGAATCTGGTGAGGTTGTTCGGCGGACCCCGGATGTGTATATCGTTGTGGCGAATGACCAACGCTTTGGTCTCGTTTCGAAGCTTTTTGTTGACAAACTGGAGCTGGTTGGCGACCACATGTCCATTCACTCTGACCGGCCCTTGGTGTATCGTCTTCTTGGTATCTGACACTGGCTTGTTGGTAGTCAGATTCGTCTCTGAAATTTTTCGTCGCTTCCTCATGGGAGCTTCATCATCCGACTCTTGAACACGACCTACTGGTGCGGGGATTTCGCTAAGTCTTTCTACGTGTTCTTCAAATGTTTGAGGATGGAGGCACAACCAACCCACACCCATTCTGTCCTCGCGATAATAGATTCCTTCATCGATGGTGAGTGCGTATTCGAAGATCTTGTTGCGAAGCTCGCCGGGTAGCCGAAGAAGGCGTGAATCTACCCCTGCGTTCCGCACAGGGGCTTCAGTACGCTTCGTTGACATGGTATCGTGTGGCTGAGGAATACAGTACTTGGAAGATAGTGCAGTCGATTTGTCGCGTGTTTGGGGAGATGCACAAGCTATTTGGAGAGGTAAGTGGTAGGTGATGTGGAATGAATTAGACTGGTAGCTTCAGAGAGGCAGAAGCGCATGAAAAATCCTCACTCCGGACACAGTCTCTGCCTAGTCCCCATTTTGCATCTGAGCAATTGAGAGGAAGCATACTCTGCGGCTTTGCTCTTCATATGCTGTGATTCGCTGTACCCCGTTAACAGTATGTTATGGTAGTGGTGGACCAAGCGACTAAGCGTAGAGATCGAATGAATGGTGTCGAGTATACAATTCCACTGGTATTGGCCCGATCAGTACCAAGGTTGAGCAGGAAGAAACTGCGCCTTCAGACGAAGCGCAATAGAACCTTCTTCAAAACATGACGTGTGCTAATTCAGCTTGAGGCACTCGCTGCTTTGACGGACGGTGCAGCATGTTGCGATAGAGTTTGCGAAATCCATGGATACTACCTGCGAGGCTCACCGCCGCCGCGATGTCTACCCATGATTTCCAGGTCTAGGAGGACACAACGGCTTTGGAAGATGGATGGTCGATAAGAGAGAGAGGAATGACGTGTCAGCACCAATCGCGATCTCCGCAACCCAGCTTACCACGCGCAGCTTTAGCGCGATTCATCAACCTCGGCATACCTCCACATTATAGCATTCCACGACCGAGCCGCAACCCGAGCTACTACTAGATCAACCCCAGACTCCGCCCGTGATCACTTCTATCGCATCACCATAGCCATACTCACCAGTCCTTCACCGACAAATCCTCCGAAAGTCCCTAACTAAACGCGACCGTCGCGACCTCCTCTCACATTTCAAACGCCGAAGTACCTCTCCTCCGTTGCCGTCGCGCCGCCGCTGCCGAAACGCGTCCATAAGCCCACCATGTCCGAGTCTCTCACCACCAAGCAAGTCGCCGAGCACAACACAGTCGAGAAGGGACTGTACATAATAGTCGACAACGATGTATACAAGATGGACTCGTTTGTGGATGAGCACCCCGGTGGCGCTAAGATCCTGAAGAGAGTCGGTGGAAAGGATGCTAGCAAGCAGTTCTGGAAGGTACGTTATAGCCAACACATAGAGAAGGCGAGAAGGAAGGAATGCCTGGGACGATTCGTTACGCGCGGTCTTCCAGGGCCGGATTTGCTGTTGCGCGTTTGGTCTTGGTACCGCCGCGCTGATGGTACTCGGTGCTCGGTACCAGCGGAATCATGGCAGACTGGACCCTTGATTTGATCATCGAAAGTGCCTTATCGCACATGAAGTTTGGGTATGCTGACCAAGACACAGTACCACAACGAGAGCGTATTGAAGAAGTACGCACCTAAGCTCAAGATTGGCACAGTCAAGGAGGAGTCCAAGTTATAGATACACAATTAATTATACCAATGATCACCATTCAATTCACCTACGTTGCATCTCTCCGTGTATATCGCGCATCAAATACCCCATCTATGAAGAAATGCGATGCCATGACGCAATGTTCACCGCCTGTTGCATGTTCATTCACCACACCAGCAAGATTACCACGAGATCAATGCAAAACTATAAATTACGACAAACTTCTAACTCTATGGACGTATTGGTATAACGCGTTCTCTCGGATTCAAAAGCAACAAGCTCGCAAAAATAAACATGCCGTGGGTATCGTGATATAGCAAACGCCTGTTCTCAATGCTGCGCGAAAATATGCCAAAATCGTTGCTGCGTAATGTCACTCTTGTTCTCTCTCCCAATCTCTGCTCTTCTCATCTAGAAGCACGTCCACCGCTTCTTAACACCCGGTCTCGAGTTCGGCCTGGGTGTAGGACTCGTCCGCGGCCGCGCACTGTCCTTCTCATTCATATGCGCGTCATCCAAATCGTCCATGCGATAGCGGCGCACAGATCCAGCATCCGACTGATCTTTCTCGTAGAACTTCTCTTGCGGGCCGGAAACACATCGCGGTGTTACTTTGCGGAAGAAACCTCGTAGACCGCTGTTGGCTTTGTCGATTCTTTCGTACTCGCGTTTTCGCGTGCATGGCGATGTCCAGTGCATGGTTGTGTTGGTCTTTTCTGCGTCGATTGTGTCTTCGCTTTGGCGGGGCATGGATGTTTCTTCCACTACGCGTAGACTGTCTGAGCTGAAACGCGTTGCTGCGCTAGGAAAACCGAATGCGTCACCGTGAGACATTGTCGGGCTTGGAAGACCGGAATTTGACTGATAGGATGGGTTTGAGAAGATGCTGCAGCTGCGAAAGTGCAGAGCGAGAACGTCGTCGACATCTTGGCTGGTTGTGGTTGCGGGCGGTGTTTGGAAACTCTTCACTCGGTAGTGGCGCGCGGGTCTTGATGGGTCCACGATAGTACAAGAAGTGCGACGCGATGAGGGCTTTGAACCATGGCCACGGCTCTTTGATCTGCTGTTCGAGTTTTCTGATGATGTCGTTGACTGTTGTCGTAATGGTCGTGAGCGCTGCTCTGATACTGGTCGTCGTGGCTCCATGTCTGCAACCTGGAAAGAGGAGATCGATTCGACTTTATTTCTGCGATGTTTGCTATGCCGGATGGTATTGTTGTTGCACAGTGGTTCTTGGCTGGGTATTTTGGGTAGATAGGAACCCGCAACACTATCAATTCGATTCATCGCCGATCTATCAAAGATCGAGAACGGGGAGTGACGTAGATGTGAGGTGTCTTGAAGGATATTGAATCGGGAATATTGTCTTAGTGGTAAATAATTTCGGTACTCGTCTAGGTCGGATATCAGTATCGGAATAGGAAGGTTCTGTGCTCAAGGGGTAAAAGCCCATACCAGCAGCCAGTGCCAACACCGAAACACACAGATTTGGGTTCCTCGCGCGAACGGCACACACAAGCGGTATAAGAGAATGAAATCTGGAATCACAGGCGGGCTATGTGACGCCAGTAATTGTTGGGTCAGTCAAGTGACGAACCGCGGGACCCGCCTGGAGGACTATTGAATCAACCGCGGTCAGTAGGAGGGAAACTAGAGCCTAGTATATAAAGAAGAGATCAAAACGTCCGAATTGTCGATCTTGGCCGTTGGTTGGCCCAGACCCTGCCAGCATGCAGCGAGACGCACGGCATGCACGATCTCTTGACGAGTTTGAGCCGAGCGCGTGGGCACCTCTACGAAAAGGGTTGGGAGTTCACCGCCTCCCAGGACTCGATTTCCGGGGCCTGAATAGACTAGGCGCGTGAAAAGACTAGCGGCGCGATTAAACTGGAGAAGGATTTCGCTAGCTTCCGTGCGTTCGAGACGGAGCATGACAGATGCACTAAATATGTCACAATCAGAGTCGCACATGGGGGGCAGAGGACAAAACATTCACGTATGATGTCGTCGGCTTTCACATGCCAGCGATGATGTGGTAGCGCGTGAGAGGCCACACACACAGCTTCGGACGCTGATCACTTCGGGTTGGCTCGTGATAAGGGAAGGAGGGCGCGAGGCCATGTCGAATAGACGCGAGTGGCAGCCTCGTCTACCGACAAGTCGATCCGGCACAACCTTGGGAGTGCAGCACGGACGGCGGGAAGGACCGAATCAAATCAAAGAACGACAGGCCAGCGACATCGGGCCAAGATGACCCACGCTCGACTCAGGCAAGCGCACGCGGAAATGTCGAGCCTGAAAAGTAAAGAATGCCAAATGAAGCGCTGCGCATGGCGTCGTGGGCATTGCTGAGAGGGGCGTCAGGGAAGATTACACCAAACCGCTGCGGCGGGTACCGGCGCAGAACCCTGAACCACCACCCTAAAATACATCCATTTCTCCCACAGCCCTTTCTTACACGAATGAGAGGCAGTAAAAGTCTTTGCTCCCACATGTACGTCTTGTGGGCGCGCGGCCCGCTGCCTTACTGCTTACAGTTATCCGCTGCAAACGCTCTTTGGAGGGTGGAACCCATGCGCCAAGGCCACATCCAATGCAGATGATGCAGCTGATCGGGCCAGGGACGCCGCCAATGGCTATGTCATGCGTCAGCACAACACCACCAATGGCGTCCTACTCGCACGCGGAGATGAGTCTGCATTGCAGCTTTTTTGTCGCTAAGCTAGTCATCGCAAGGGTCGTCTGGAAGATCGGCTCGCACGTGGTATCCTCACGAACCCCTCTTCAACTCCACCACGCAGGCACAATGCGCACACTGCGAACTCAGTGCGAAGCATCACAGAAAGGCGGTATGACTTGGCAGGTACACTCCTCCCTTTTGACTCGCAGTAAGAGGGCCTGTGCGATGAAACGAACGCAGAACTTCTCCACTACCCTACAGTTCCGTGAGTGCGTGCCCCGTTCCGCGGGTCGTTCGGAGATAACCAGTACGAATTGCCTATAGCATCTCGTCGTAAAACCCCTCAATGAACTCCGCAACTTCGTCAAAAGACTCAAGACAGTGCCAGTGCCCAACTCCTTCCATAACTGCCAACCTCTTCTCGCTGCTGCCAATCTCTTCGAACATCTTCTTGCACCCTTCAAGCGGTGCGCTCTTGTCCTCCTCACCAGCGAGGATGAGTACGGGCACGCTGATCTTGCTGTACTGAGGCGGCTTTGCATTGATAATGACTAGACAGTTGGAAATATAACCCGCTGGATCCTGTGATAGCAATAACTCGCGGATCATCGCTTTGACCAGTGGAGACGCGTTCTTTCCGACTGCAGCATGTGGGATGCTGTCTGCCATGGGCTGCATACCGTCTTTTGCAACGGTTTCTATCCGTTCGTGGAAGCGGGGGCCTGCCTCAGGGTTGGGATATACAGGGCCGATCAGAATAGCTGCTACAATGCGGTCACTTCGCTCAGCCGCAAGATGTGCGCCGACGATGCTAGAGACGTGTCAGTTGTCGTGGCCGTGGCAGTCGCGTCTTCCAAGGCTTCTGAAGGTTGCTGACGTACCCTCCCATGCTGTGCCCAACGAACACAGCCTTGTCGACGTTCAGCGCGTCCAGAATCCCAATCACATCTTCTCCCAGCGTCTCAATACTCTGCTCGACAAATGTGTATGTCGATCGACCAGCCCCTGTGTTGTCAAACGTAATGCAGCGAAATCCACTTTCGACCAAGCTCCCAGTTACTGGCTGATAGTAATTCTGCGAAGAGCCCAGCCCGTGCATGAAGATGAGTGTTTCGCGTGTCTTGCCATCTTGTGGTTTCAAGTCGGTGTAGTGAAAGCGTTTGTAGCCGACGTGGAGGAAAGGCATGTTGGATGGAACGTAGCCGTGTTTGTGAGTTCGTTTCACAACAGCTTGAGATGGGTGACGGGACTGGTTCCGATCGGAAGCGGAACCATGCGGATAGTGCTAATGACATCACTGGGGTGCAGCAAGCACAAGAACACTGAACTTCGTCGCGTCTGCACAAATTTACGTTTCTCTAACCCGAAAGCCATGATTGATTACCGATGCAGTATATCTGAATGTATGATAGCCATAGCATTTACGGAATCCAACCAAATAACGAACAGACACCTCTCAACTGTCACTCGACCCATCTGTAATGATCTTCACCTGATACCACTCATGTATCGCCTGCTTGCACTCCTCTCTCAATCTCGCGATTGCTGGCGCATCATCCTTTGCCAATAACGTCAATAGTAGTTGCGCCAACCCCTCTCTCGTAGTAACCTCCTTCAACGCGTCTAAGCCAGGATCCTCGTTCGCCGTCTCCGCGATTCCCAGCATCCTACTCGCATCGCTCTTGGCCCGCGATCTCCTTCGCCTGCCAAAGATTGAGAGCACGCTTCGTGACTGGGTCTGTTGCTCCTGCCCACTGGCATCCCACAGCGCGACTCGGCTGATGAAATGCTTTATCGCCGCTTCTTCGAAGCTCTCTCTTCGTCTCTCAATCGCCTTGTCAAATTCCAGGTCGAGCGTGTAGCTGTCGTGGTCCCATCTGTAAAGCAGGTAGCGGAAAGTGCGCACTTCAGCGTCGGGTATAGATAGGTCGCCGAAGTCTGTTGTGAAAGGGTCGTAGGAGATCGAGGAAGATGATGAAGTCGGTCGTTCGCTGGTGGTACTCGTTGGTGTTGCGACGTGGCCGTATTTCAGTTCGAGAGCGTGGTGCGTATCTATGACTTTTTGGAGAGCAACTTTGCGTTTTTGGAGGACAGCGTCGGTGCCTTCGAAGAGGTGTGGAGAGGATGGTTTGCTGGACAGGTGGCTTCTGCTGCGATGGAGGCTGGAGGTGTGATGTCGCTTGGATTCTAGAGATGGTCGTGTCATGGTGTTTATGTCCATATTCAACCCAGTTGTCTTTTCGTGGAGTAGTCAAGATAAGGATTAGTCTAAATAGAACAATAGAGGTAAGATCAAGCGTATCGTTGTGAATATTCAGTTCCTAGAGCATACATATGGTGAAAGAAGTGAAACTCATGAAAGAGAAAAAACCAGAAACCAGGAAGAAAGGCCACAGACTCAACCCTTTGCCAGCAAACTCAACCGTGGATGCCGGCTAACCCAGACGCCCACGCCCAATTGACGCACATCCCGTTAGCCGAGAAGGGGGAAGGGGGTGACGCAAGCCCTTTTCTGACATGCAGATCTGCGAGGGCAGACTCATCCTCACCACCGGTGTTGTATAAGGTGTAAAAGTTGTGTCGCGGAACGCTGACTCTAGTGACGATCTATTGGCAGCGATTGTGCCACCGCTTTGTTGAGCCACTTCATGAGCCACTTCGTGGTTCAGTCACTGCGCCGCAGGGTGCGCGGCATTTTTCGGCGTTAATTAAAGTGGGGACGGCGACACGCTGGCGAGGGTGCTGACGCCAAGTCGTGCTTTGGCCGATGATCCGGCGAGCACAGTGATGCCGTGAGGTTGCTCGTGCTGCGAGCTTACGCGTCGAAATGTCTGTTCTGAGAGTGTGCGTGCTGGGCCGTCATTGCATCGTATTGCAACCCCGCACGGTGAAGCTTTGGCAGGAAGAAGATTCAGTCAACACGACGAACAAAACAAACGGGTACGTATTCAAATCCGCACTACAACGAATATTCGATCATCAAGCGCTGCCGGCGAGAATGCTACGATGTACCTGGAACATGAAGGAAGTCCCCAATGATTTCCTTCAGTGAGCGAAACGCCATGCAATGCAAGAACGACCGGCCTATAACAACGCGAACGGGAACTCGGAAGGCAGCAAAACATCCGGCAATCCTTAAATTGGCCAAGAAAATGCGGTTTACTCGGAAGGCGGTACAGGCTCCGTCTTGCCGTTGGGTAATATGTGTTGGGTGGTGCTCATACGAACGCTGGACGGCCTTTCAAGCTTCTTCCCGTCTTCTGCAGCATTTCCATTCTGCACGTCTTTCTCGAGATCCTTGTGTCCACTCGTGACATCAGGCAGCGCTTCGGCTTCGTTCAATGCTTGTTTGACCAACTTCTTCGCCTCGATCGCAAGATTGGGGATTTCCTCCACCTCCTTGTTCTTGTTCAGGTACGAGTCCAGTAGCGCTTTGAGCGTCTGCGCGCGAACCGGTTTCGCGAGGTAATTGTTCATGCCTACGAGGTCAGCGTATATCTCAAACGTAGATTAAGCTGCCAGAATTTACCGGATTCCAGGCACTTCTCGCGGTCTCCTTGGATAGCGGAAGCGGTCATGGCAATGATGAGTACATTTCGAATCTCGGGATTGGGATGCTTGCGGATCAGTTTCGTAGCTATACATGGTCAGTATTCATGTGCTAGCCAAGGCGCGAGTAGCAATCCTTACCTTCGTAGCCATCGCAATGCGGCATTTGCACATCCATGAGAATAAGATGGAAGGGGCGCCCATTCTCCGAAGCACGCTCAAGAGCGTCGATAGTCTTGTATCCGTCGAGATAAGCGTCGCATTTGAAGCCAAGCTTTTGCACGAAGCTGATTGCGATGCGCTGATTAATCAAGTTGTCTTCCGCGATGCAGACCCGTAGTTCTCGTCTGGGTATCGTGGAAAGATCGATGCAGGAACCCGACAATTGCTCATGACCATTGTTTTCCTGGCTTGAGAACCTAGCCATAGGGTCTGGCTCTCGTGCCCTTTGCTGCTGACTTCCTGCTTGCGCTTTCGGCACTTTCTTGAACCGTAACGAAAACGTGACCGTTGTACCCTGGCCTGGCTGGCTGTCGAGACGTACTGTACCGTGCATAACGTTCTCTATGAGGGCTTTGCAAATACTCAGACCAAGGCCAGTGCCACCGTAACTCCTAGCGGAGCTTGACTCTATCTGCGAGAAAGGGAGGAACAATTTCTGTTTCTGTTCGTCTGGGATACCGATGCCAGTATCTATAACGCTGCAAGTTATATCTGCCCAGTCATCTGTCTCTTGGTCAAGAACAGCGCGGACAGTGACAGATCCACGTGGCGTGAATTTGTAGCTGTTGGATAACAAGTTCATCAGAATCTGGTGCAGTCGGACAGGGTCGCCCATGACGAGCATCTCTGGATCCAGATACAATTGCTCAATGGTTTTGAGGCCTCTTTCGGCATTCGTGTAGGCCAGAGCGCGGACGACTTCAGTAATCGTTTCGTTCAACGAAATCGGCATCTCCAAGACGTTCATCTTGCCAGCTTCGAGCTTGGAATAGTCTAATAGGTCGTTTATGATCGAGAGCAATGTATCGGCGCAGACTCGAATCGAATCGGCGTATCCGGATTGTTCTGAGTTCAGCGGTGAAGCTTTCAACAGCTCAGACATGCCAATCACGCCGTTCAAGGGAGTCCGCAACTCGTGCGAGACGTTGGCAAGGAACAGACTCTTTGCCTTGGCGGCTTCTTCCTTGAGCTTCATGTTACGCACAGCTATGGCTTCCGCCTCTTTCGCCTTGATCTCTGCGGCCCGCGCCTGTGACAAAGCGCGTTTCTGCATCTCAAGCATTGCTTCGTTGCTTGCGGATACTCTTTCCACCTCTTTGAAAAGCAGTGCATTGGCCAGGGAGATGGAGATTTGGTTGACCAGTAATCGGAGAACCTGAGTGTTACGTTCAGTGAACGAATTCGGCGGGCCCTCGACATATATTGAACCAAGAAGGTGATCGCTGTGCAGAATCGGGATGCAGATGACTGCTTTCCCCTCGGGATTTCGTTGAAGGTAGGCGTCAGAAACGTTGGAGAAGCGGTCGTCTTCTAGTAGGTTCTGGACGAAGACTATCTCTCGGAAGCGGAGTGTGTAGAGCGTCACTTGCCGCGCAACAACATCGTCCACAGTATCTAAAGGTTGACTGGCAGGGAAGGATGTGACGCCGGAAGAGACCCCACTGTCGTTGTCAGGCTCGTTGGTGGCAACGCATGCGATCGACCATTCGATTTGTGAGTCTTCAATCACTATGCCGCACAAGGTACCGCCCGTAGATTCGAGCAAAATGGTACTCATCTTTGCCATCAGTTTATCGACGACGAGCTCGCTAGACAAGACTTGACTCGACTCCAAGATTGAAGATAGGTCTAGCATGTCCAGACCTACAGCCGAGAGACCGTTGTGTAGAGCTGGAGCAGACTCTTGGCGCCGTGTTTCCGGGACAATCCAGTTCTGTGTTCGATCGACGGCAGTCTCCGAGCCTAGGAATTGATCATGATCATTTTGCTCCAGCCTGAAGGCCGTGTTACCCGTGTCTACGAGGGAGGTTTGTACAGCTTGGTCTACTGTCGTGAGCGAGGCGCCGCTACGCACTAGCCACTCATACCGACTCGCGAAGTGATTTGCTTTTCCATATGCTGACATCCTCCGATATACCGAGATGCAGTCTTTCAAAGAATGTCGGGCCGCCCTGTAGGCCTTCTTGTCTACCAACCATCCAGTGTAGAGCTCGAGAGCAAACGCTTCGTCCAATGCAAACTCGTAACGTTCGCTATGCTCCATGGCTGCCTCATAATTCTCCAGCGCGGATTGCGGATCGGCATTAACATCCCCGAGGACGGCAGTGAGAAGATGTATCCAGCCCCGGTAGTTGACATCAGTGGTGGTGCAACATGTCTCGAGCAATTTGAGGGTCTCATGAACATGTTTTACCATCTCGTCTCTCCGGCTATGAGCGGGCTTCTCTCGGAGGACAGCCATGTATGCGAACGATAAGTAGTATCGGACCGAGTAATTGAGTCTTTCTGACCAGAGACTGCTCAGCATTGGAAGTAGCATCTCCCCAAGAGCCACTGCATCCGAATGATGACCATAGAGTACCAACAACGGAAGTTTGGTTGCAAGATAGATAGACTTGGGACGCTTGGGATTGCTGGCCGTATTTTCGAGGAACTCAATGTACTCGACCTCATTGTGATCGTCATCCGAGAGGAGGGAAAGAGCGTTGCTTGAGTCAGTCTTTCCCTGGAGCGCTCTTGCATATTGACGAGCAGCCATGAGAAAAACTCCTCCACGCATGTCTTTCTGCCAGTTTCGCATATCGAGCGGTGTTTCCTCAATCCATGCTTCCAATTCTGCGACGTCGTATGAAGCCATGACCCTGAAGTGAGCCTGTACACCAAGATTCAGAAGTGTGAGGATGCGATCGCCAGCAGTTAGTGAAGCCTGCAAGGCTGCTTCTAAGCTCGGTATCAGATCGCCTACAGGCGCTTCCAAGTGACCCAGGAACATTGGCTGCAAAGTTTGACCTCGTCCCAGGGTGTAGTAGTCTTCAGGAAACTGCAGAGGTAGAGGTATGAAGTCAGCATATATCTCACGTGCACTTCGTATAGCCAGAACTTACCATCTGAAATATTCGCTTTGCAATCGCACCCATGTCGACTGCGAAATTCGTCATTCCGAAACGACCGCCCGCAACAGTGCCCAGATGCACGTATGCAAGGGCAACCTGTGACATGGTACCCTTTTCGAGATGGACGGTGATAAGCTTCAGCGTCGCCTGATAGAAAAGCAGGCTGTTCGACCAGAACGCCGCACTAAGGAGTTCGATGAAGACAGGCCCAATAGTCATCAGGACACGGTCATCAGGAGACGGACGCCGCTTGAGCAGTTCTTCCTTATCGATGTTCTGAAGCGTGCCATATATCTGCTGAAACTGAGCATCGCACGCCTCCCATGTTGTCGGAGGAATAGGGGAATTGAGCAAAGACAAACAGTCTTTGAGAGCCTGGAACGCACTATAGATGGTGATGTCGTTAGCTGACTGTCGCGATAGTTGCAGTGATGAAAGGCGACAGGTACACACGCAAGTTCCAAAGGTCATGCTATCTTGCAAGAGTGAAACCTGCTCCAGGCGCATGCACGGAAGGGATGTGGAACATTGCTTACCCGAAACTGTCGCCGCGAATAGCGAACACCCTAGACTGTAGAATGAACGAACTAGCCATATCGCAGGGATCGCGGGCATGCTGAAAGGTCGTCCGGATCAAGCTAAGAGCCTCATCGAACATGCCCTGGTGCCAATAGCATTCTGCCGAGCGCACAAAGAGTTGCAACGTCTCTTGGTAGGATACGTCCGGCATATTGTCGTTCCATGGATCGTCTTGCAGAAGCATGAGGCTGTGCGCGAAATAGTAGATGCCAGTTGATCGCGCGCCCGACTCGCATGCAGTTTCTCCAGCTTGATACAGCATATCACGGAATGGAGCTCGCACTGTTTCCTTGGTCTTGATCAGTTCTGCAGCGAGACAGATGTGGCGACTCTGCATGTACAACGCCTTGGAACCTGACGTTGAGTCGTCGTTATACTCCTCGCCGGAAGTTATCATCTTGGCAATGGTGAAGTGCATCAACTGTGTATCCCATTCCTTGTCGAGGGAGTTCACAGCCGCTGTAAGATACCGATCGTGACTGAATCTGAATCGAGCATCTTGTTCAGCAGGCATGAGTACGTAGGCTTTCAATGCTGCATCAAGAGCTGTGACGGCAGACTCGTCTCTCTCGAAAAGTGGTAGCCTCCCATGAGCTGCGGACTTATTGGTAGGCTGAAGGAGCTTCTTCAGAAGTTCGAACGAGAAAGTGCCGCCCAGGAGGGATGCCCATGCCAAGAGCTTCCTACTGGAAGATGGTAATTCTGTCAACCGCTTTGTTATAAAGTCAGTCGTAACAGATGACCCATACTCTGGACTCTCGAAAACGGCGAAGACTTTGTCTAGGTCGAAAACCCAGGTGTTCTCCCGCCACTCGTAGTACACACAGCGTTTCCGATAGCAAGTGTCTAGTATCTCGCGTATATAGAAGAGGTTGCCTCGAGACTTTTCCTGAATTACCGCTACTAGAGGAAGGATATACTGATGGTCCCGGTGGAGCGTCTCAGCCACGTAGTCGGCCGTCTGGGCCTCTACAAAAGGAAGAAGTTGTACTCTGGTAGCGTGACGCAGTAGTGGGGTGAGTTCTCGGGGTAGGGTCTCTTCGTCGCTGTACGTGAGCATAAGAACAAGCGGAATTTTGGCTTGCACGATGTGATGAATCAGCTCAGCGCTTTCGGGATCGGCATACTGAACATCTTCCAAACTCCATGTGCAGAGCTTGTGCATTGCCAGGAGTCGTAGAACATCTATGAAGACATTCATGAATCTGGAAGATTTCGAAGCACCTCCGCTTCGTAGCCAAGCCTCGGCAGTATGTCCAGCTGATCCGCAGTGAACGGCAGGAGATGATGCCCGTCGAGTCAGATCCTTAGTAGGCTCCATGTCCTTCTGTTGCGGACTCTTTCCGTTCGTGTTTAAGAGCCATTCCGGTAGATCAAGGTAGGTTCGTAACACCGCCCAAACTCCACTGTTTCTGAGGTAATGGCGCAATCTCTGGTGAAATTCCGTCGTTACGTCCGCCTCGCTGACTAGACAGGGGGATGTAAGTTAGTAGCTGGTATAGGGGAACATGATTGTCTAAGATGACTGTACATACTGGCTAACGTTAGTACAATTGCGAGCATTGAGAGTAGTCCTCAGAGAGACTTACCATATTTGGCGGAAGAAAGAAGACATCAGCCGAAGAATGGGGTCAAATGGTGCTTTCTTGGCGGGATCAAATTTAGCCATAGCGAAGTAGCCAGTGCTCCTTGCTGTGCTCTGTACGCTCTGCACGAGACGAGATTTACCCAACCCGGTGGCACCGGCGATGGCTATCACCTCACATCGCGCCTTGCGCCTTAGTTTTCGCGTGCTGGCTAGAGTTCTTAGGCCATCGTTGGATTGGTGGCTGCGAGAGTAGAGTCCGGTGCTTTCAATGCTATTGTTGGAACGGCCTCGGCTCGCGGATTGCAGTTGGGGCCGACTGTCCACACTTCCTTCAGCCGTTGATGATTCTGATTGTGCCACACTATCTTGGGAGCCCTGTTGCATCGACCGAGCGCTTTCCATGAATACAGGGCCATCTGCCGAAACGCTGTTGAGCCTGCTGTCGGAGCCTCTGGAGCTAGTGCTTTCGGAAATGATGTCGTCAAATTGCAGGTCTCGTCGTTGATCTGAAAAGGAGGAACCTGAGCTCAGGCTCTGCAACGCTTTGACGTTACTCCGACGATGTCTCGCTACGCGCTCTATCACGTCCACTATAGTCTTGCGCTCTTTCTCACGCCCGATTAGTTTCAGGGGTAAGTTGAAGAAGCAACTGATGTCCTTGGTGCCTACATGGAAGGCCTTCAATCCTTCTACATCTCCATCGTAAAGAAGCTCGCGGATACGAAAGAGATCGAATTTCAAGCCTGAAGTAGAGTGGTATCTCTCCTCAATATTGCGCTGCGTCATACGTTGGATGATCTCGGACAGAGCCTCTGGGATGTCTAGTCGTCTGGAAGAAATCGGAGGAATTCGCTTGCTGATGACGTTCTGCATGACATCGAGAGCCGTAGCGCCTTCGAATGGCGTCTGCCCGCAGAGCATCGTGTAAAAAAGAATACCAAGACTGTAGATGTCGGTTCTTGTGTCGGGTTCAGCGGGCATTCTACCAGTCTGTTCAGGGGATATGAAGGCCAACTTCAATTCGATGCCAGTCTCTTTTGACAGGGTAGTCCAACCCGCGCTTGTTAGTCCGTTCTCGAAAGATCGTGCGCCGGATCCAAAGTTGATCATCTTGACTGTCCCGTTCTCAGCGAAATGGAAGGCATCGCCCCGAATCTCGCCATGGACGATTTCGTGACCGTGGTGCAATATTTCCAGACACTCGACTGATCCGACGGCAAAGTCGAGGAAGGTGAGGAGAGGTATCCCCTTGTTGGGCAATGAAGTATCTGATTGACCGCTTTGCCCATGACTGCCAACCTTCCAGAAATTGGGGCCGAAGTTGACCAAGTCGTTGAGGTAGTTGGGCCCTGGGGCTTCGAATATACTGGCGACAAGAGGCTCCTCACCGGCTTTGGTGGATAGCCTCACAAACTCTATGGGGCGAACAAAGTGCTTGCACTCTGGATCCGATTCCTTGACGACGAGTTTGGCGAGCTGGAACTCGCGTTCGAGGCGCAGAGTCTGCTGCGAGACACGACATACGACGGTCCGGCCTTCTCTCGCCACACCTTTGGCGGTGGTGTTGGTGCGGTGTGTTTGTACGGTAGAGGCGCTCGCATCGGAGCCCGAACTGCGGTGAGTGCGTGTTATGGTTGGGCGGCTTCGGGTCAGGGAGTCGGGCGAATGCGACAGCTTGAGAGAGGTGGGGGAGGTTACGGCGCTCCTTCCTCTTGACACAGGGCGATCCTGCCGGGGCGCTTGCTTCTCGTAACCGAAGAAATGCCAGTTATCATACGACTATTCGACGTTAGCATGGTGCAGCGACAACCCAGGCTATGCGACGCCTCTTACTGAGTGGAAGGGCTCAATGTCCGTGTCCCAGCCATAGTTCTGCAGCTCCTGCAGACGCGCAAAGATGTGCGAGAAGTGCTGCGTGCGCCCGCCTCCTTCCGATCGAGTCATTGTGTCTTTCCGATGTTCGCAACCGCCGGGCATCTAAGACATGCTCTGGGTGGGATGCAGGGAATCAATGTGTAGGGTAAAGTCGCCAGGCGCTCGATCTATCCATCACAGCATCAGCGGGGCGCGACTGCCATGTCAAGAGCGCGGTCGTCGGGAGTGCTGGGAGCGACGGGAGGGGCGTAAAGGAGAGTCCGGTAGGCTGTTGATGCCAGTGTTCTAGAGGGAGCAGACGCGCATGTGGAGTGCTTACTGATGGCATTCCAGCCACAGCAGACGGACTGCGAAGATGCGCGCTCAGACTTCGCGCTTGTTCTTAGACGTCATAATCGACATGGGCTCGCTGTAGCGGAACTTTGCGCCCAACGCACCGCACGCAAAAGTAACGTTTCCCTGCCCAGCCCAACGCGCCCTGAAACCAAAACCAAGCATGCATCCGCAGCGAATATCAACGTGGACCATGTGTGGCTGGCAGGCAGGCGAGCACCCCCCGCGCAAGTTGGGACGGCTGTATCTGGCATAGCGGAAGATCGGCCTGGCGCGTTAGCCCTCGGGCTGGAGCCGTTGGTAGCGACATCATCGTGGTTCAGGGCCAGTAGTGCCGTCTGCATCATCTGCATATCGACGCTGCATTATTACCACCTCCGCCGGGCGGGTCAGCAATACGCCCAGTCGCAATTTCCCACTGCGACCGACTTTCGCCCCCATAGCACCCTCTGCCTGCCCGCCACTGTTAGACTGACGCTGCCCCACCACAGGCGACCGGGCATCCCTCGACATTTGACACATGCATCTTCCGCAGAGGTAGCCGATGTCATAGCAAACACCATCCTTCCACATCCACCCTATTCAATGTCACACAATGGACTCGCCCGACCACGAGCATGCCTATTCAGGCGACCTTGGGGAACCCATGAGGCCACGACAACTCCCCTCGGACCTGCCCACTTCCCTCAATGACAGGCGACCTGTCACCATCATGAATGAGGAAACCGAGATCTACGACGCCTGGCAGGGTAAGTGTCGGATAGGGAAGGCGCAATCAACTACGAGGAACTGACGTCGCCCAGGGCAGTCGCAATTTCTCACTACCCCCATGCCCGCCCGCCCGCTCAGTTTCAACCTCTCGCTCGACGACCCGACGTTTGGCGACGAAGACATGCAGCAGCTCGAGGACAGCGATAGTCGCCTCGTGCAGATGCTGGCCCACCAAGCGCGTCTCAAGAACGACAACGCAGGCGACGAGGCCAAGGTTGTCGCCGACGACAAGTTGTCACACGAGGAAAAGAAAGAGGCTTTACAGGGGCTTTTTACACTGGCCGCTTCGAATGGCGAGCTGGAAAGAGTCAAGCGGCTGCTGGATGGGAAAACGCGGGAATACATCAACATCAACGGCGTCGACGCCGAAGGCACGCCGCCACTCGTCTACGCAAGCTGTTTTGGACACGAGGACGTGGCAGCTACACTTCTCGAGCAGGGCGCAACTGTTGATATGCAGGACAAGAATCGCTGGACGCCGCTCATGTGGGCCATGACAAATCGGCACAAGGCCATCGTCAAACTTCTGCTCGACCACGGCGCATCGACTGATGTCAAGTCTTCTGGAGGAAGGACCGCCTTCGATTTCGTCGAGCCCAACACCGAGCTGTCCGACTATCTACACGAGAGCGGATACGCGATTGGCAACGTCGGTGTTGGCGACGACTTCTACAGCTCTGGATTCTCCCAGGACCGCTTTGAGCAAGAAATGCAGGAGAACGACTTGAAACGGCGCATGATGATGGAGAGTGCTTTCAATCTCGAGGTTGATATCGGCAACCTTGGCTTGGACGAACAGCCCGAGTCACCTGAAGAGCCAGAAGAAGAAGCACAGGAATTTATCTGGGACAGATGTCTCAACGACCAGATGTTTGTCTTCCAAGAAAGCGAACTGGAACGTATACTGGACATTATCATCACAAACATGACGCCGCAGCGCTCTCCGTCGCAAAAGCCAGTTCCCGCAAACATACTCTTCCTGAGTGCCCGCTACGCACACTATCATGCGAACCCGGAACTTCTCGAGACCCTGCTGGTCTCTGCCATGAACAAGATAAACGACGTTGTAGAAAAGCACCAGTGGGATATGACTGTGCTGGCCTTCTGGATGTCCAACGCGACACTGCTTTTACATTACCTCAAGAAAGACGGCGGGCTCACGAGTGCGACTACTGAGTTTCAACTGCAGATGGCAGAACTTATCAATGAGATTTTCATCTTGATCATCCGTGACGCCGAGCGAAGGATGGACAAGAACTTGGACCAGGCAATGCTCGACCATGAGCCCATGCCTGGCTTCGAAGACGTACAGTTCCAACACGAATGGAAAATATTTCGTTCCAAACCCAAGGCAAAGCCATTAGAACCCCTTGAGAAACGCTTCCGACCGCCATCTCCAAAGCGCAGAGCACAGCCATCACCGCGAAACATCACTTCTCTCCTATCATCCACCCTGTTCGTCCTTGATCTGTACGATGTGCACTCTGTCATTGCTGCGCAGGTGCTATCGCAGCTCATTTACTGGCTTTCCGCCGAAGTCTTTAACCGCATAATGTCGAACCGGAAGTATCTTGCACGGACAAAAGCTATGCAAATACGCATGAATGTCTCGACGCTCGAAGACTGGGCTCGTTCCAACAACCGGCAACCCGAACATTACGAGAACGGCTCCATGACTTCTACCGGCGAGAACACCGCGGACGCTGCTAAGCGGCATCTCGAGCCTCTGGTGCAACTTCTGCAATGGCTTCAATGCTTCTCTTCACTCGGAGAAGATCTAGAGTCGCTCGTGGGTACTCTACAACAGCTAACACGTCTGTCGCCCCAACAGCTACTACACACCGCGAAATATTACCGCCCCGAAGTGGGCGAGAAAGGCCTTCCGAAAAGCGCTTCCAAGTACATTGTACATCTGCAAAAAGCTGCCGCTGATCGTAAAGCCGCACGCACAAAGTCGCCCAATCCGCCGCCAGCATCGGAATCAGTACCAACCACGCCTGTCAGGCCTACTTCCGATAAACCTGTCGAACCATCGCCTGCGCCTTCGCGCATGTCGGAAGAAGACGAGAAGGACGAGCCACCGGACGAGCTGCTCTTAGACCCGTCGTACATGCTGCCATTTTCACTTCCAACGTCAACGGACATGCTCATCACCTACGGTGCCGGATTCGGGGGTGTTAACAAAGAAAGAGAGCGGAAATACATTCCCACCGTACCCCCCGAGTTTATGGCCAAGTTGGACTTGAATGGAGGCAACAATAAGAATGGAAGCTCCTACTATTCTGAGACGCAGTGGAACGATCCGAGCTATGGGTGAAGATGAAGATCGGCAGTATTGAGAGCCCTGCTAATTGAGACTTTGATAGTCGCGTCCACACTGCTTGGTTGAGACGAAGACCGGATTCTTTTAAGTTCCGTTCTACAACATCTCGTTGCTGCTGACCGTCGCGTTCTTTGTTGCATTGCCGCATATGACTTGGATACAGACGTGGCACCTGGTCCGACAAACGGTCCAAAGAGGAATACTCTATCAATTACCCTACGGCACGCAAACCAGATCTGAAGATGCAGACATACTGTTTCCGCTGCAACCGCAAGAACGATGCTGATTCCGTTTGGGGGTGAAGGGCGCAACAGCACATGAGTTGGATATTACCATAGTATCAGGGTATGCATAGATCTGTTTACCATTACTTCAATCTTTCGCGTCAACTACGGACACATCAATTTTTCCCTATCGTGCGGCCCGCCGGGCACACAGCGCGTTTACTGTAGCATCGGCCCATCTCACAGCGAGAGGAGTCATACACTTTACAAGCAATGCATGGAATGACTGTCGATAATGAGAGTCTTATGTAAGGTAGCTATCTAGTTATCGGTATCACTCCGTGATCGGCCCGTCAATATCCATCGAGTCGGCGGAGGCATCGGCGGATTCCGATAGCAGCAGCTGTTGGCACGCAGGGTCTGGCTACCCCACCACTCCACCACCCCGCCATAACTTCTTGGTAGTCAGCCAAATCCCAAAACAAACTTCCTACTTTTCTCTCTCTTCAGCATACTGCATTTATCTTCTTATTCTTCTTGCATATCATACTCTCAAAATGGAGATTCGCACCATTTCACCAGAAGATGTCAAAAGCGTAGCCACAAACACTGCGCAATCGATACCAATTGATGAGATCGATAGTACTTTCAAGTCCCAGTACACTGGTGAGAAGCCCATAACCCTCGCATTTCGACAGAAGATCTAACAAGCATTAAGATCTCATATCTGCACCACTTGGCTCCAAAGTCCTCTCTTTCAGTGATGAATACTTCGCTGCAGCCGAGAATCTCATAACGCCGACTCCAGCAGTCCGTAAACCTGGTGTCTTCGTACATACGGGAGCTTGGTATGACGGTTGGGAAACCCGACGCCACAACACCGAACCTGCCGACTGGGTGGTACTGAGACTGGGTACCGCCAGCGGAAAAGTGGCAGGTGTAGAAATTGACACGGCACACTTTAACGGAAACCATGCACCAGAAATTGCCGTCGAGGGTGCTTTTATCACGGACGAGAAAGAGGAAGAAGAGGTGACAAAGCCAAGCTACCAGGGTTGGGAGACAATTCTGTCAAGGCAGGAGTGTGGACCTAGCCAACGGCACGGATGGAAGCTGGCAAACATCACGGAAAAGGCGTACACCCACGTCCGGCTCCTCATGTACCCCGACGGTGGCATTGCGCGTTTCCGCCTCTATGGAGTCGCCGTGCCCGTGTTCCCCCAATCCGCAGATGCCATCTTCGAGCTCTCAGCCACAGTCATGGGCGGCGTCGCAACATCATGCTCCGACCAACATTTCGGCACAAAAGACAATCTCCTCCTCCCCGGTCGCGGAAAAGACATGGGCGACGGCTGGGAAACGAAGCGCACGCGTGGCGAACACGTCGACTGGACGATTGTCAGGCTAGGCGCGAAGGGCGAGATTGACCATGTTGTCGTAGATACGGCGCACTTTAGGGGCAACTTCCCTCAAAAGGTGCAGGTCTTTGCTGGAAGCTTTGAGAAGGATCCGGCTCATGATGATAAGGAGTGGGTTGAGGTTTTGGAGCCGCAAAAGACGGGTCCGGATAAGGAGCATGAGTACAAGGCTGAGCTTAAGGAGGTGGCTGGTAGGGGCTACACGCATGCGAAGTTGGTGATTATTCCGGATGGAGGTGTGAAGCGGTTCCGAGTTTTCGGAAAGAGGGTGTAAGGGTTCAGATTGTAAGACTATGGCTAGATGAATCAAGATGAAATGAACTCATTGAAGCTATTCGAGAGCGTTTTTTCTATAGTTGACACAGTGAAGCCGGCATTGCGTTGAACTGCGGACATCTAGGTACCGCGACCTTCTCGGTCTTGAGTAGTTAACAATTTGTTTACCAGTGCAAGTTTCTTACGACTGCCGTATGATACTGACGCCACTGCGTGCCATTGAAGGTTCGATGATGACCGATGGCCGAGGTTACTCAAGTAGGTTTGACATGTCTTGGCGCCTTGGTAAGGCGTACACGTGGGTCAGGCGCATCTCCAACCGCAACCACATCAACTTCCAAGACCACCGTCGCTTCCATTTCTCGATATCTACGAATTGATTGCCCGGTATGGAGGAAGAGTACGCTTTCAATATGGAGAAGGTGTCGCCGATGTGGATCATCACGGCACTCTGTGTAGTGCCTTTCGGCATGTATCAACTGCTCAACCTTCTTAGCCCGTTGATGCAGCGGTTGACGGCTATGAAGATCTCAGCGGTATGTTGTATGATTATGAGATGTTCGAGATCGTGTGCTGATGACAGCACGCTAGATATACATTTACCCCATCAAGTCGCTGCGAGCCGTCAAGGTCACCGAAGCCATTGCCACCGCTCATGGTTTCAAGCACGATCGTACACACATCATACTCAATGCAAACTGAACAGTCATTAACACCACCCAGGCTCCTTCATGCTCCTCCAAAAAACCGAAGAAGGCTACAAAAACATGGCCGTAGCCAAATACCCCGAAATGACGCAATTCCTCCAAGAAATGTCCAACGACACCATCACCATCAGATACATCGCCTACGGCGACTCATCAAAGGCAACATCAATTCAAATCCCACTCGAACCCGACACAGATAAGCTGTCCCCCATCAACATCGACATGCACTCCAGCCCCACGTCCGCCTTCCTAATGCCCCAAAAGTACAACGACTGGTTCACATCCTGTTTCGGCTACCCAGTCATCTTCGTCTACCTAGGCACCAACCGACGCACCGTCCAATTCCAAGACATGCAGCCCGCTGCACCCTCGCCACTAACCCGTTTTCTCTCCAAATACGTCCCGTTCACTGCCTCCTACGTCGAGAAAGCAATGGGTCTGCACAAGCCCTCAGCAGCCGAATCCTGGAAGATCACTTTCGCAGACTGCGCCCCGTATCTCTTCTGTTCGCAAACAAGTCTCGATGATGTTTCCTCCAGGCTACCAGAAGGTATGAGCATGGATATCGAAAAGTTCCGTCCTAATATCGTGGTGGAGGGCGCGCATGAACCTTACGAAGAAGATTACTGGGGTAAAGTTACGGTAAAAGGCGGGACGGAGATCTTGCTTCCGCATAACTGTGTGAGGTGCAAGAGTATCAATATTGACTACAAGACGGGGAAACCGGGGGAGGGGCCGAGTGGAGAGGTGCTGAAAAGGTTGCAGAAGGATCGCAGGATTGATGTTGGGGCGAAGTGGAGTCCGGTGTTTGGGCGGTATGGGTTTTGGGGGAAGGGCAGGGAGGAGGTGTGGAGGGTGGGGGATCGGGTTAATGTCGCCAAGGTTAATGACGGGCCGACTGTTTGGAGTAAGTTTTTGGATGTGAGATTCGATATAAGGATGTGGAAACTGACTGTGCACAGGTTGGCCTGGTGTCGGATAGAATTGGTACAGTGTGCTCATAGCGGGTGTACTAACGAAACATTACGTCAACGATGCGTTGGCCTTACTGATGATAAACTCCTGTTACGGAAAAAAGAATTTAGGCGCATATCCTTTCTACGATGCCGTGTGGTTCCGCACGCCTGCGACTCCGCCCCACGCAATTTTCCTAGCCTCTCGCTTCTTCTTCATATCCCGTTCGGACTTATCCCACCTACGCTCTTTCTCATCCATGGTCGCCGCCGAAAGATCAAGCTCGTCACCACTATACAGCCAAGGATGGAAAAACTCATTGGTATTCCAGAGATGAAAGGCTGGAATATACTGGTAGACTACCGGACACTGTTAGAACAAAACGTCGACCACGAAATCTTGATCGAGAGGAAAACTTACACAATATACCCATATTCTTCATAAACTCCCGCGACGCCATTTTAGCGGCATTTCCGGGGTAGCAGTGATACAAGCTCACTTTTGCCAGGTTGGGAAAAAGCGTTGTCTTTACCCTGGCCACATGCTTCACCCACCTTTCTGCCTCCCTACCGAGACAGTCGGTCAAGATAAGCCGTTCGAGCTTCGACGGCACGACTTCTTTGTAGTACGCATATACAACATTGTCACTCGGCAGCACAAGCGTGCGCAACGCGGGGAAGTACTTCGGAATACCGTGCACAGAGCCTCGATAGTCTGATCTGCTGGAAGGCGATGTGCGGAAGTCGTTGGGCAATTCAAGTACGGTGAGTTTGTGGCTGAAGAGAGGGAGTAGAGGCCCTAGATCAGGGGTGTGGGCTGGAAAGAGGCTGCTATGGTAGAGCAGGGGTTGGAGAAAGGGAAAGTTGTACAGTATCGAGCCCCCGAGATACAGTTCCTGTAGATCGGGTAGCATGGTCAGCACAAGGCTGAGGAGGATGCTTGGTCCATCGTATTCGTTTCCGGCATGCAAGGATTCGGAGAAGTGTTGTTTCGTCAGAGGATCGATGTCTAATGTGCTGATATGGCTGATGGCTTTGGAAAGTAGCGAAGGCTCGAGTGCTGGAATGGGGTTCGGTCCTATGCACATCCCACGGATTTTCGTTTCGATAGTCAGGCTGCGGATCTTGTGTCGCAGGTCTGGGTACTTGAAGAGTGAAGCGAGGAAGTGGTCGACCTTGCTTGAGTACAGTATTGGTGCGCAGAAGAGAACCTCACGGGCAAGCGGTGCCAGTTGCTTGCACGTCGAGAGCGCATTCAGTAAGTCGGCTTGGGGATTGGGATGCTTGACACTCTTGGGAAGGTAGTGCAGAATCTGGAGAAGGACCTCGTCTGGGAGTTGGCTTGCCATGCTGGAGGAGAATGTTGGCTGAGAATGCGTACCGAACAAGAGTTCTTAGCGTTATGGAGGGTGAAAGAGCAGAGGGACGATACTGTTTTTCTCGGTGCGATGTGAGTGATCAAAATCGTTTATACACAAATGCTATAACGCTGTAAAGTAGCGAACGTTGAGAACCATGGTTGAGATGCATTGAAACCAAGGTTTACAATAGACGAGTGATGAAAAACACAGGTTATTTCATAGTGAATAGGCTCTATAAATTCATCAGGGCTATGGCGAAGGGAGGTTTTTGGAGAGACTAACCTTCGTAGGCATTTATGCTACCGGGTGTGGCTAGGACTCATGTAGCATACGTCCCATCAAATTGCCAATTAATACATAATGACAAAAGTAATGTATACTTCTACTTCGACGAGTTCCTTCACATAGTGCGACATAACTGGTAGCTACCCCTAGTAGTGCTATCAAATGCATTGAGAAGCTATCAGCTTTCACTCAGGCATCAAGCTTTCGACAGACAACACCACAACTTGTGATAACACATTTCATTACGTTCTCTTCCCACTATCAACAACATGTAATATGATGATTTAGACTTGACAATAGTAATAATGCAAATAAATTGCCTGTTCCCGACCTGTGACAAACGCCATGCTCTTGCGCGCATGTCCTTCTAATGTAATGATAAATATCCCAACCCAGAAAACGAAGAGGCCATGAACAGCCAACTTCGACTGAAAGTGCGTACCAATGTCTGTTCTGCCTATATGATTTATAAAGGACACCTTTTGTTCGAACGCCGTGGCAATGTGGTAGCGATAAGGATAGAGACGCGGTCGTGAAACGGAAGCCGTAACTGTATGTACAGATGTTCAGAGAGGGCATGTTCACCATGTTTCCTGCGTGTTCGTTAGTATGTGTGAGTTAGGCATGATTGGAAAGTGTACTTACGGCAATGTACTGTCCGTCCTCCTTCTTTCGGGCCCAGAACTCCTTCGCTTGCGCTTCGCTCAGGCGGCCCTTTTGCATCGCAACATCGATCAGAGACTCTTCGACACCTTCGCCCATGCCCTTACTAGAGCCACAGACAAAAATACGTCCGTCGAGGGCATTGATGACGAACCAGACAATATCAGCCTGTACTCGCACCTCGTCTTGGACGTATTTGACCTCGTTGGAACCTCCCACCTTGACCTTCCGGCTCTGGACGACCTTTTTGATTTCGCGTTCATGGTCGCCTAGTTCACCGGAGTAGAGCTCATCGAGCATGGAGTCTCGGACACCCTGGATGAGCCAGATCTTGTTGGCGCAGTTGGCGTTCTTGAGGCGGTTCAGGATGAAACCACGGAAAGGAGCCATGCCAACTCCCGCTCCGATGAGCACCATGGGGCCTTCACCACCAAATTGCTTTGACAGCGGGTTCGCCATGAGCCCGCGGAACATGGGGATGCGCAGATCGAGGATGCTGCGGGGATCGACACCTTCATTCTCGGCTGTGATGAAGGCGTGTGCCATGCGCTCCATGAAGCCACTGCCTACACCAGTACGTGTAGCACCCTCAGCATGCCAATCGGGTGTCTCATGGATTGTGACGGCCATCTCGATGAGGCGACGGGTACCGGGAAGGCCAGGGCGCGCCGACGAGATGTGTGGGTCGTTGGAGAGGGAGTAGAATCGAGGCATCAGCTGAGTGAGGACGGAGAGGAGGTGCGGTAGCGGCGGCTTCGACGAAGGGAATGCGCTGAGCATCTGTGAGACTGTGAAGTGAGAAGTAGTACGGAGATCGCAGAAGGCTGCTTGTCCTTGGGCTGAGCAGAGGTATGTCAGGATCTTCTTCTCGTTGGGGGCTTCGGCATACTCGGCGAGCACGCGAAGGAGGTTCTTGGTGGGCGGGTGCGACTGGATGTCGGCACACCAGGTCAGCAGTTCGCGTCTGGTTGTGACAAGCTCGCGCGCTTGGTCTTCGCCCCAGATGGTCGGCCATCTTCCAGTCTGCGTCTTGAGTGTGACTGGCTTGTCGCGGACAAACTTGGGGATGCAGAGGAGATCGAACAGCTCATCGACCATTTCCTGCGAGTTGGGAGGGCAGATGCCAACGGCACCACCAACCTTGAAGTCGACGCCTCCCTCGTCGGGGTAGTCGGTAACGTCGATGTCGAAATGGATGGTTCTCTTCTCAGCGCCCGGCTTGGTCAACTCGCGTGCGTGGTAGAGCGGCGCCGAGTAGACCTCGTAGGGCGGGTGTGGCTGAACGTACTTGGGCGGCGTCTTGTGCACCTGCGAGACGTACTTGGTGTCCTTGGATGGCAGAGACTCGAAGGACATGTTGGCGGGAGGGAGCGGAATTGTGTCGGTGAGCTCGCTGTCGAGGCCGAGCGGGCCTAGCTGGAGATTGAGGCTTCGGAAGGCATGGTTGTCGGGGACGACGACGGGTATGAAGTTGGGCGACGATGCGTCCGGGGCCAGTGTCTTGAGCAGACAGCATCCTCCACCGCAGCACTGGCTGATGAGCTTGGTGGCCGTCTCACCCTCGCCCAGTATCCGTCTGATGTCGTTTGGGTTGTCCGAAATGAGCGTGGTAGATGCGCGGCGAGGACGCGTCTGCCCAGAGAAATTGATAGCCGAGGTAGGCAATTCCTGTAGCTTATCGACTACTTCCTCGACACCCTGATCGGGCTCCGTCATTGGCGTCATAGGCGCCTCGGACTCATCGCTGCTAGTAGTCCACAGTGTGGATTCCCCCGAAGACTTGGGTGATGTCTGCTCTGGCTGCGCCTGCTGTGCCGGCGAGGGCCGGAGTGAGAGCTGTGGGATATCCTTTGGCTCGGCAGGAATTGGGTCGTCAGGGTGGGAGGTCGCCGTGGTAGGTATGGGGCTGGCCATGGTGGCTGTCGAGGTTGCCATGTGCCTGCGTGGAGTGAGGTGAAGGAGCGATGGGCGTGCTGCCGGGGACGCGACAAAGGGGACTGCTAGCGCGGACCATGATTAGCAAGAGCTGACTTGGTATGGCCATGGGGAATTCAATGCAACAGCAAGGCGCGGTGCGGGTGTGCATGGCGCACTTGCTTGTTGAACCGCGGACGACGGAGATGTGCGACCGCAGAGCATGTGGGGGACGGTGGTGGTTATCTGATGCTTTGATGCAACCGAATTTCTTATCAGATCGTGGCATCACTCACCTCGACTGGCTGGCAAACGAACACGACCGAGTGGCAGCCGCGTGCGGATTCCCGAGATAGGTGACACGATGGACAGTGACTGTGGATAAATTCGTGTTGGGCGAATTCTAGCCGTGGCAGAGGGTGTGGGCATGAGGTGAGGCCTGGTGGTGATGGACAAATGTTCGACAGAGGCCGCGCCCGGACGCTTTTCCTACTGCCGATCAACGACGCCTTCAAGGCTGAGATGAGCATCCCGAACGCCCACTTCTGCCGAATGACGCTTGTCAGCGCCCCATCGCCGAAACCGCTCGTATTCCCACTTGTCATGTCCTACTTTATCCGACATAGACCTAGATCAAACCATCTTGCGACTATCTTGGCTGCGCCCACGGCATCAGCCCCATCTCCTGATCATGGTGCTCACCGAACGCGTTATATTACACCACCAGCCTTCACCGCAACCACTATGAGCTGAAGCGCAGGCCTTCTCGGCACATAGTCGCGCAAATTCTGTAACATGCCATTGTCACGCCGCCCGGTCCTCGGTCTCTCGGCGGTTATCGCATCTGATAACCAAACTTCGGCTCAGAGCCCGACCCCGCGAGCTACCTATCGTGACTCCGGCCGCTGTCCCTCTCTGAAGACACTAATCCTGCCACGTTTCCCCTCATCTTGAGTGCATCCAGTACCTTCGCCAAAATGTCGCGATCGGGGTATTGCAGCGCTATTACGTCGTTGCAACGCCACACGAAAACTTACCGCACCAAGGCTCGAGTTCGCCCAATGTCAGGATATGCCTGATACTTACACCCGTATTCTAATCTAGACTGCCTCTAAACATGTCATAATACGCCACGGCAAGGCTGACAGACCATCACCCACCACCGCGAACGCGCGCAGGGTCCGCGTCACTATCGTGTTCCGCCATGGTGGAAGAACGTTGAAAACGCTCTCTTAGCGGCCCCACACGCCTCGAGTCTCAATTGCAGATCTGTGATGCAACTGTCACGACCCTGAACTCGGGCACTGTTCCATTCGTCACTCTGATCTGGAGGTTTGTGAGATCACTGAGAACCATTCTTACCGTTTGTAGTAATACGTGACTAACTCAGCTGCATTATGACGAAAACCCATACACCACCCGGAAAGCAAAGTCGCGATGGAATATCACGGTGAGTTAATGATCGATTCACACTGGTAGCGAAGAATGACTGCAATGAATGCATGATCGCATTTCCAATGCCTCACGCCAATAGGAAATCGAGCTCAGGCTTGGTACCTTCTTCTAGGGTTCATTCAGCGTTGAGCACGACTCAGAAAAAAGATTGCTCCGCGCAGCGCACTTGACAGGGTCTTCTGTACAACTGGTTGTGGCCCCGAAGAGACCGTGGTCGGGGATTGCTGCTTGCGCTATGCGTGTGCTGATTGCGTTTAGCTACCGAACGATTGGGCCAAGTCGTTTGCGTGTTGACTCACACTCACTCGCTTGGTGATTTTGTCTAGCTAGGTAGCTACCAAGCGTTTGCCTGAGACTAGCAACATCAGAAGCACCCGTCACCGCGAGCATTTGTGCGAACAACTGGCAGACTAAGCATACCCAAGTCGCATCCACGATACCCTGGACTACCTTTCTCAACTCAACTTCACTCCCGGGATCTATCTAACCATGTCACTTCTCACTGACGCCGATTGCGAGAGGATTTCAGCACGGCTGATAGAACGTTCGACAAGCGGCTACCACAACAACGACGGCTCTTTCCGTACGGACAATCCAGATGTCGAGGAAGATTGCCAGCTTCTCATGCTCCAGTTACTCCCCAACCCGGACAATCTACGGAGATTTCGAGACTGGAGCCAAAAGCAGTGCAATCTCAGTCGACAACTCCCTGAACCTGCAAGCGCCGCCGACCTCATCAAGACCATTGAAAAGACAAACTTTCTCTCCGAGGACTCCCGTACGACTCTTTGTGACATGCTGAGTACCGAGCTACGCTCATACGTCGGCCTGGGAACGCATCTCAACTATCACTATTGTCTGAGGACGGATCTCTTACAGCTAGTCCCCGAAGATTACGACATCGACGAGATGGACGCGCGCGACATCCTACCTGGATCTATACTCGGTATCAACCTGACCAAGACAAGCCCTCAGAGTAACAACCGGCGCAAGAATAACGATTCAGACGAATCCGCTTCCAGCAATTCATCCACTGGCAATGATGATACCGGTTTCACGTTTATGCAGCTGGGCAGGGTTGATTACCTCTCACACGAGTCGAGAGAGACCTACAACAAATTGTCCCACAACCCTGTACAGATGCCCTGGAGCGATTCCGGTTTTGTCCTCGTCGTGGCTATCGAACGGGACGGAACGCCTGGCGCGCCATGGCTGATCTTCAATTTCAAGCCTGAATCTGAGATCGAAGGCGACAGGGTCCGTATCCCGCGAACAGGTAGATTCTGGGGAACTCTTCTAGGAGACAAAACTCAGCGTTTGGCTGTGAAGCTTGGAGATAAAATGAGCGATCTCGAGGACAAGAAGCCGTGGTGTATGACAACGCAGTTCGGGACGGAATCCGAGGCCCAGATCGTCGCCGCGGTTTTCTCCAAGCTAACTTCCATCACGGGCGAGATACTTCGGCAGAAGATCCCCGACGTCAGTCGCAGTGGTTAGAGAAGCCGGAATCTTAGGTATCGGGCCGTTCTCCAAACGCAAACGTTTGGGTCATAAACGAGGTGACTCACTGATGGTACCATGGTTCACCCGAGGAGCTTTTTCACGCGACAAAGTTCCCTTTCTACACAGCAAGACTGAACTTGACCTCTCTCTCACTCTTTCTTTCTCGCTCACACTTAAACAAACAAACGTAAGGATACTATGTCATCTTTAACCGACGCCGATTGTGAGAGGATATTTGCAGAACTCATGGCTAGCGGCATGTCGAAAGCTGGCTATCCCAGCTCCAACGAGGACACGTCTCACCACCAGCCCCGGGATATAGATCAGCTCCTTCCCGACTTAGCAAGCATAGACAGATACCGCGAATGGAGGCTCAAGCAAATGGAGCAAGAGGCAGAGGAAGCACAACGCATTCGCCACAACCCACCACGTCCAACCGCCGCCGAACTCATCAAAGCGATCCAAGAGACCGACTTTCTCAATGAAAAATCGCGCGAAAAGCTCTATCACAAACTACACTGGATCAAAGATGGCGCACTCGAACTGGGAATGCATTGCGACTACCACTTCTGCCTGGTACCCGATTGCTTTGACCAACTGATGTACGAGGATGAAGACGTGGACTGGGATGTCGACGATACACGCGAGTGGCCGGAACTCACAAATATACTTGGCATCAACATATGGAAGGCAGCATCCGATGCCGAGACCGCAGGAGCCCAGCCCAAGGATATTGAGCCAGATCAATCTAGTGTCAAGAATGAGTCCAGAGGCAACGACGCCACAGGCTTTGTGTTTATGCAAATGGGCCGGGTGTTCCGTCTCAAGGATTGTGACGTGGAAAGTGACAAGAGAAGGGCCAAAAACAACGAAAAGCGGACGTCTTGGTCTGACTCTGACTTCGTCCTCGTCGTCGCTATCGAGGAGAATGGAAGAGCAGGAGCGCTGTGGTTGGTGTGTAACTTCAATCCAGAAAATGAGATTGGATGCGGTCGCATCAAGCTCCCGCAATCATACCGGGACTGTGGCAATACTTTGGGAGACTATGTTCAGTACAAAGCTCTCAAGATTGCGGAGAATATTGGGGAGCTCAAACAAGGCAAGGCATGGGATGTTACAATGAAGTTTGGCAGCGAATCTGACATACAAATCGTACCCGCCGTCTTTGATGGAGAGGGGAAAGAGAAGAGGCTCTTGCGACACAAGGTTCGCAAGGAAGAGCTTACGGAATGGCTTGAGGTCTAACCTCGTACGCGACATCCAGTCATTGCTGTACCCTAGCTCACGATCTCCTACACCAACAAACAACACACAACCTTTCAGCCTCATGGAATACGCTTATCATTAAGACTACGCAACCTTCCTAGTCTAATACTTCCCACTCTCCTTCACCAACCCCTCCTTCTCATTCTCCGCCTTAGGCTTCAACGCCCACTCCGGCGCCTCATCAATCTCATCCTCCTCAGCCTTATCCCCCTCCTCCTTAGTCTTATGCACACTACTCGGCAAATGCTCCGCAGGCGCATACACCGTAATCAACTCAAGCGGCTGATCCCCCTTGGTAACGAACTGATGCTGCGTCCCCGCCGGCACAACAACAACATCACCGGCTTTAACCTCTTGGTCCTTGCCATTCACCGTCGCGAGCCCTTTGCCGGATGTGAAGAGCAGGATCTGGTCGACAAGATGGACTTCGTCGCCAATCTCGCCGTTGACGGGGACTTCCATGGCGACGATTTGCGAGTAGAGGCCTGTGTGGAGGACGGTGCGGAAGTCGCCGAAACTGCGCTTTTCGGACATGAGGCCGGGGAAATGCACCATTTCGTGTTTGGGCGGCGCGTTCTCGCGGTTGCCGACTTTCTTCAAGGCGTCCATTTTGGCGGCGTAGAGGCGGGGGGCGGTTGTGCTGAAGGTTTTGGTGATGGGGACTGGACTTCGCTTTGTGAGTGTGGATGTGGAGAGGCGGAGGAGACGGGATGTGGTGTTGAGCATTAGGGAGGAATTGGTTTGGAATGGATGGGTTTTTGGGTCGAGTGAGATGGGGATTATATGGCACGTTGCTTTCGCATCACAAGTGCCCCTCTATGCGTTCGATTAGGATAGACATGGTAGAAAGTGCGGGGCAATGGGATCGAAGCGTAACCAAACAAGGCGAGATAGGGAATGTTCAAGCAAGATTCCCTAGCCAACATGTGCTGTTGCCTGGAAGGGGGTTCCGTCTCGAGTGAAATGGTCGCAAAACCTGTCTCCATATAACGGGTAACAAGTGCAATAGCCAAGAGCTTCCGGGATAGTGGACAGTAGCGGACGTAGTGTACATTAGAGAAGGCTGTCGCCCACTCCAGTAGAGCCATCGAGACAAGTGGTGAAGTCGTCAAGGAAATCGCAGAAGTTGCTATGTGCCTTCGTTGCACGACCGCATATGCATTGTTGTACCGCAAACGATTGTTGTGAGTACTTCCTTTTGTGGCTTGTCTTTTGTGGGCACATCCGGCCTGTCGCTGGTATCAATCCTGTCTCCATGCTCAGTGCTGACTAGATGGCAGACGAGTGTTGTGATGAGATCATCGAGCACACCGACACAACCGTAACAGTGACCGTACTCCAACCTCCTCGGGGGCGATATCAGTGCAGCCCCGACGTAACAGGGACTTGTATGTGGTCAAGTGATGGAGGAGCAACCCCTGCGTGTATGAAACGGACGTCCACGTACTCAAAGGGTCTGAAAGGGGGCATCTTTCCAGGAACAGATTTCTGTCACTGCCGGTGTTCATATCCTATCCAGTACGCAGTGTGACTGCATCTTGAGATACGGCATCGGACCGTGCAAGATTTAATGTGGTTCTGCGACCAGCGGCCTTGCATTCACATCCTGCCTAAGGGCGGGTGACTGCTGACTCGGACCGATTCGATCGCTGAAGGGATCGTCCGCCAACGGTTTTCTCCGCAGCTCAGGCACGTTCCCATAGTCATTACTGGCGATAATTCTCTGCTACGACTCGTCGAGTGACATCGTCGAACTCGGCGAGAAGAAAGATGTTGCGACTACACTTACATGTCCGGTGCAAGACTAGCATAGTGCTCTCTGGACTACCGATTCGATAGTCAGAAGGCTCGAAACTGAGGTTTGCGTGTAGCTCGACACGGGCATTCGAGGTGGAGCAGGCACGTGGCGTGGAGACGCGTCGGGAAATTGCTGATGGCCCAATTAGTCCAGACAGCGCTAATCCTCCACCAGTTCGGTAAAGCCAGGGTCAAGGCACGGGTAAAATCTCCAACGGCCGTCTCGTGGTTGTAGCGCAATGTCAACAAAAGGCTGCGTCATGGAAGGTCTACCGTGCGCGTTGTGAAGGCACTAAGCTGTGTTGGTCAACGCTACGCCGCTTAGGAAACATTCGGGCCGATCCAGGAAGGAGTGTGCCTGAGTGCTGGCTTCCGACGATCGGGCAAAGACACCACCGTACTTTCTGTAAAATCGCGACTCAGTAGATTGCGCGACCACATCATGGACTGCAACTTCAAATATAGTTGAGAAACTGGAGACAAGAAACTGCAGGTCGTCTACACTAGAAGACGCGCATACGGGCCGATCGTTCACGTTGTAACGGTGAGATGTGGCTGAGCGGACTGCAACCCACTGACAAGGAACAAAGAGCCGCTCTGAGAACGACCAATGCAGCGAAAATACCAGTGCGATGGCAGCCCTATCTAAGCTGTTCTCGCTGAATGGGTCATACCAATGAGTCGCAGGAGACGTCTACGATAGTCCGCATCGAAGCCGCGAGTTCCGCGCCCTGGCAGTTCTACCCCTGATGCCGATCCCAATCGACACCAACACGATGACCTGAAGCGCACAGCTTATGACTCGGGTCTGTTAGAGGCACAGCGAAATAGGAAGAGCTTTGGAAACCTGAAAGCGGCGTCGCGCATGGCGCATGCCCTTGAAGGAATCTTGATTAAGGTTCCTCTTGGTAAGGCGAACTAAATGAATTCAAGGATGCATATCTGGAAAAGCCACGACCGACAGTATCTATGCCAAGCTGCCAGCCTCAAGACAAGATACGGTGAGGCTGTCAAATCTGCCATACTCCAGCTAGAAATTACTCGAGCGGGGCAAAGGACCCGTGCTGGTGGTTTCCACCTTGATGGGGTCACCAACAGCGATCTACGCTCATGATACCACTTCATAATGGCCGAATGCATGGGTCACTCCAGTGGATCAACTACGGACACCCTGGAATCAGGCTTCGTCATGTCGATCGACATCCTACTGGTCTTCCTAATGCACACAACGGTGATATACCGGACATTACTGTGCTGCCACACTTGTACATGGTGTGGCGTTAGGAGAGAGACGTTGGAGTGGGTGAGTATATAAGTACTATCGGCTCCGACTTCAGTAGTAGTATCATCCAGCTACAGATCCACAGTCATTCCTTTTTTACGACACTCGCTTTTTGCTCCAACTATTTTACAGTCTTTCCAAGAACCCTAATCCTCCCAAGATGCGTTTCAACGTCCCCGCCATTCTTGCAGCCGCCGCTGTTGCGAACGCCGCTGTTATTCCCCAGATCCCCAAGGTTGATGGCGTCGTTGGTGGCGCCACATCTGGCGTCTCTTCCACCGTCAACGTGAGTACACTACAAGTCGCCTTATGATTACTCAACTGACAACTTCAACAGAAGGTTGAGGGTGTCGCAAGCCCCAAGATCAATGCCTCCATCGGTCGCCGTGTCAACGCAAAGGTCGGCACCAAGTTTGGCTCCGTAGACGCCTCCGTCGACCCCAGGAAGATCAACGCCAACGTTGGTGCCCACATCACCAGTCGCCAGGTCCCTGATGTTAAGCCCATCGTTGGTGGTGCTACCTCCGGCGTCACCTTCACCGTCAACGACGTCAAGAACGTCGGTGCTGACGCCAAGGTCGAGGCTCTCGACGACGTCGTCGAGGTTGAGGTTGGCAAGCGCCAGGAGCTCCCTGTCGCTGGTGACCTCGTCAACGGTGCTACCTCCAAGGTCACCTCCACTGTCGACCACGTCAAGAACATCGATGCCAAGGTCGATGCCCTCGGTGCTTCCATCGACGCTTCCATCGGCAAGCGCCAGGACCTTCCCGTTGTTGGCGACCTCCCCGTTGCTGGCGGCGCTGCCGGCGACGTTACTTCCAAGGTTGGCTCTACTCTCGCCGACGTCCAGAACCTGAACGTCAACGGCATCGCTGAGGGTGTCACCGCCCCTGTTGCCCCCGTTGTTGACGGTGTCGAGTCTGCTCTCAAGCCTGTTGTCGACGGTGTCGAGCAGGCTGTTGCCCCTGTCACTGGCGCTGTCTCCGGCCTTGTTACCCCCATTGTCAACGACGTCAAGGACAGCGCTCTCGGTGCCGTCAACGGCGTTACCTCCAAGGTTGAGTCCACTGTTGGATCCACTGTTGACGACGTCAAGAACACCACCGGTTCCGCTTCCGCTCTTGGCCAGTCCGCTGATGCTGCTGTTGAGAAGCGCCAGGTTCCCGACGTTGCCCCCGTTGTTGGTGGTGCCACCGGTGCCATTGAGCCTGTTGCCAACACTGCCACTGGTGCCGTTAAGCCTGCTGTTGACACCGTCGAGGGTGCTGTCAAGCCTGCCGTCGACACCGTCAAGGGCTCTGTTGAGCCCGCTGTCAACACTGTCAAGGGTGCCGTTGAGCCCGTTGTCAATACTGTCTCCGGTGTTGTCTCACCTGTTGTCGACAACGTTAAGGGCGTAGCCGGATCTACCGTCAAGACCGCCACCGACAAGGTCGGCTCCACCGTCGACGATGTCAAGAACATTGACGTCTCCGCTGATGTCCTCGGCGCTGCTAAGGTCGACGCCTCCCTATAAAGGCGCTGCTAAGCTATGACGGTCATGCTTCGAGCGTTACGCAATCTTTCCAGCGTCCATCAGCGAGACGCATTTGTACATATATCCTAATCTGTAGTAACATCTAATCAGAAATACCCCCCATAACTTCATTCATTGCCTGTGAACCTGCCAAACCGAAAGTGTCTTGTGAGCTCATTGGACTGAAGAAGGTAAAGTCATCTTTGTTTGTCATTCTGTGCCATTTCCCACCCCTCGAGCTGTCCGCGCCATGTGTTGAATTATGATCATTTTGCCGTCTCTTTGGATCTTCTTGTTTGTATTGTCTTAGTGATTATCGTACGCCTGATGTAAGAAGTGATCTGTATGTACTAAAGTGCATGAAATGAAGGTGAGACCTATCCGAAGTGTTGAATACCTGGCTTGGGTAAGAGAAACTATTACCCAGTCTTAGCTCCATGACAAGTGAGAGGCTCTTGGGTTCCGCTGCCGCTGATTGATAAGCAATGTACCTACAACGCTCCTTCCCTCGAGTCCAACATCCTCTTCTTCCTCAACAACAATAACTCTATTTCAACATAGTCGAAATGGAGTCCCCCAGCAACCCACACAAGCGACAGAAGCTCGGTTTCGAGAGGTAAGTCGTGGACAACATTGAAGAAAGGCACACTGACAGTGTTGGTTCCAGCTACTCAAATTCCAGGGTCTTATCCGACATCACGATTCGATATGGAGTCTCAGGAGAGCGGACCTTCGAAGCGCACAAAGTAGTGCTAATCGCAATGTCGTACTGGTTCAAGGCAGCTTTCACTGGACAGTTTGCAGTAGGACTATCTTCCGATGATAGAGATGCATCCCTTACTGACGTACGAAGGAAAGTTCCGCCAGAGAGATCACTCTGAAAGAAGACGATCCCGATGCTCTACTCTTGATGCTCAACTTTGCATACGATCAAAAGATACCAAGTCTGGATGACGTTGACAACGTTATTCGTACTGCCCGTAGCATCCGAGATTGCTTAGGCTTGTACCGCGTCGCTGACAAGTACGACTTTCCTCAGTTCCTGGATCGGGTCATCTCAGTGTTCAAATGTAGCATTGGTTGGTGGTCGATGCAAGTGCGATCAGGCGACCCAGTCCCCATAAATGCCGTTTTACATCAAGAGTTCTGTGGATTCGTCAGAGATGTCTATGATATTGTTGGTTCGGAACATCATCCTAGTCATCCATTGGTAGATGTGTTGCTAGGATTTGCAGACGACCCGCGATCCACATATATGGTCAACCGCATCGGTCGCCAGCCACTCATAGCGTCGGCCTGTCGGGAAGTGGCAGAATTTGGACGGGACATCTTTCTCCATTTGATGGCAAAGACTGGAGTCTTACATCAGGATGGCGGTATCGTGACGGAGGCACTCTGTATCGCGGCTAGCAGAAGATGTCCAGAATGCGAGGAGATTGTGTTGATGGCCGAGCTGAAGGAAAATGATTGGAAGGGTCACTGTCCTCGTTGTGGTGGTTACCAACTAGACTGGCGGCCAGAAATGCTGTCTTACGAGGAAGACAAATTCAGTTAGGAAGGACAACAAAGCAAATGATAATACCTGGGCATTCTTGCGTAGCTAGAAGAGTGGTAGCGCGGTCTTGCCTCGGCAGCGGAGATGTCCGGCACTACCGGCAGGCCACCCTGAGCTAGGTTTCAACTTTCCAATGTTTCCCCCTCGAATTGCTGTCCATGAACTTGCGATTCCACCAGCCTGCCACTTTAACGACGTTACGACCCCTTGACGACCATTTTGCATCTCTCGCTCTCTTTTCTGTCTTTCTGAACTGTTAGAGATACTCCGCGTGGCTCCCATATAGCTCGGAACTGTCTGCGCCCATCCATACCTAGAACACACGCCCTCGCGCAATCACGCCTCACCGCTCCAGACTGCAGCTGCTCAGCTCACTCGACTTGTTATCGCACTCGCTCTTTACATCGAAACACCACACCCTCCTTACCTGCCCACCATGCCCGAAACAACCAAGGTCGTGCCCCTCACCTGCCACGGCCACTCGAGACCTGTGCCGCATATTCACTTCTCGTCCCTGGTCGACGAGGACCAGTACTACATTATATCAGCATGCAAGGATAACAACCCCATGCTCCGCGACGGAGTCACGGGAGATTGGATTGGCACCTTCCTGGGCCACAAGGGCGCCGTCTGGCAAGCGAGACTCTCCTCGGATGCCTCACTAGCAGCGACGGCCTCTGCGGATTTCTCTGCGTAAGTGCTTCCGATTACCGTGAGCGACGATGGTACTAATACTCTACAGCAAGGTCTGGGACACGCACACCGGTGAAGCCCTACACACTCTCTCGCACAACCACATCGTCCGCGCCGTCGCGTTTCCCAATCAGCCCCACCCCCAGATCCTCGCGACAGGAGGCATGGAGAAGAAATTGCGCATCTACGATCTTTCACGTAGCGACGCGACGAGCTTCGAGATTGGCGCAGGTGTCCACGCCGGAACCATCAAGTCGATCGTGTGGACATCGGACCCGAATGTCATAATCACAGCAGCTGAAGACAAGAAGGTGCGGTGGTGGGACTTGCGCCAAGAGTCTACAATCGGCGAGCACGCCGTCGAAGGCACTGTTGGCTCTTGCGAGTTGGATAACACCTCCTCGGAGGGCATTTTGAGCGTGGCTGCTGGAAACAGTGCCTACTTCTTCAACAGCCAGTCGCCCGGATCGCTCATCAAAAGCATCAAGACACCGTACGAGATTGCCAGTGTGGCCCTGCACAATGGCGAGCGGAAGTTTGTTACTGGTGGTAGCAACCAGAATGATACCTGGGTCAGGGTCTGGGACTTCAACGAGGAGAAGGAGCTCGAGACCAATAAGGGCCACCACGGACCTATCTGGTCGGCAAGCTTCTCGCCTGACGGAAAGCTCTACGCGACAGGCAGTGAGGATGGAACAGTCAAGCTCTGGAAGTTCACATCCGGCCCGTACGGTCTGTGGAAATAGGATTTCGCATGACCGGCGCTGCTCCATGCCACATCTATGGCCAGATGCAACATTCCAGCACCCCCATAATAGCAAATACGAGACAAGTAGCATTTACCACTTTGGACACTTTGGACAAGCTGTTGCAATCCCGATTCTTAACAATGACATGTATGGAACAGGTGAGCAGAAGCGCTGCGAGACCATATCGTAATCGCAGCGTTGGAGTTGACATTACATTCGCGCGCTATCTCAGGCTACTCCAACCAGGGTAACTGTACCCGCGGAATTATCCGATTCGACATGCCGAAGGATCAACAACACCAATGGCGTGCAGCAACATCATCCGCCTGCATATGCTACGGCCGGCCTAGGTAGCGATGTGCAATGCTCAACACAACGATAAGACTGCCTTGGCAAGATAGCCGATAGCTGCGTTCACGGCCGTTGCCAAGGGTGGGAGGCCTTGACTGGTGCACTTAAGTACAGATGCCATGACCTCGTTGTCTGTATTGTATCCCCGAACATTACTGTCGCCTGTTAGAAGTCGCTGCCGGGGTCTTCGGTTATCTCGTCTCTACCCCTCCCTGCTCAATCACTGGATCCGGATTTGAAGCAACAACACATTCAGCAGCTGAGGAGAGTCAGGATGGGAGAGAAAGAGGAGATCTCGCCAGCGCGAGAGGCTAGCATCGATGAGGGGCAACTTGCTGCTGAGAAGCAGATGCGCGATATCGGTGCAGATCTGTATCTCGAAGTCCAGCAATACTCAAGAGAAGAGCTGGAAGCAGAACGCAAAGTCGTCTTGAGAAAGATCGATTGGGTCATCATGCCAATGGTACGTTCTCTCCATTTCATTTTCACTAAACCACGAGACAGCATAGCTAAAGAACCCACCCAGATCTGCATAACATACATGATCCAATTCCTCGACAAACTCTCCCTAAACTACGCAAACGCGTACACCCTAACCCCCGACCTGGGTCTCCAAGGCGACCGCTACGGCTGGGTCGCCGCCATCTTCAACTTCGGCTACCTCTTCTGGGCTTTACCTGCAAATTACCTCATCCAACGCCTCCCAGTCTCGAAATACACCGGCCTAATGATCCTCCTCTGGTCCATCCTGCTCTGCTGCCACGTCGCAGCGAAAAACTACTCCGGCATGCTAGCCCTCCGCTTCTTCCTCGGCATGTTCGAAGCCAGTATCAGCCCGGCCATCATGAACATAGTCAGCATGTTCTACCGCCGCGACGAACAGCCCGTTCGCATGTGCGTGTTCCTCGCTTTCAACGGCATGGCAACGATGGTCGGAGCGCTCCTCGGCTACGGCCTCGGTCACGCGCACTCCGCGCATATCAAAACGTGGCAACTCATCTTCCTCGTCATCGGCCTCTTGAACTTCGTCTGGGCGTGGGTGTTCCTCTGGGTCATGCCTGATAGTCCTTCCACCGCCAAGTTCCTGAATCATAAACAGCGTATCGTGGCGATTGATCGGATCGCGAGTAATATGATTGGTGTGAAGACGAAGCAGTTTCAGAAACATCAGGCGCTGGAGGCCGTGCTGGATTTTAAGGTGCTGTGTATTAGTTTGATTGGACTGTGCTGTGGAGTTATTAATGGGGGTGTGTCGAACTTTTCGTCCAGTCTTATCAGGGGATTCGGGTTTAGTGGCATTTATGCTACGTTGCTTCAGCTTCCGACGGGGGCTATTGAGTTTGTTGTTGTACCGCTGTGTGGACTTGCAGCGGGTTACTTCAGGGATACAAGGTGTCTTATCCTGGCTGTGGTCTGTTTACCGCCACTGGCTGGGTTGCTGGGGATTCGACTTACGCCGCTATCGGAACGCTGGAGTCTTGTTGGATGCACGTGGCTACAGTACATCATTGGTGCGCCGGTTATCTTGTCCTGGAATCTGCTTACGACGAACATCGCGGGTCACACGAAGCGTAGTACCGCAAACGGGATGTGGTTCGTTTTCTACGCGGCGGGCAATATTGCAGGAGCGAACATCTTCTTCGCGAGGGAGGCGCCGCGTTATTTCTCGGCATTGACGGGGCTCATCGTTTGTTATTGCGCAATGGTGGTGATAGGAGGTGTACTGGCTCTGTGGATGGGTTGGGAGAACAAGAGGAGGGATAGGATGTATGGTCAGGGCGAAGATGATCAGGCCATTCGGGATGGATTCAGCGATTTGACGGATAAACAGGCGAAGCGTTTTAGATATGCGCTGTAGAGTTCGTGGACGGTTCAATGGAAAGATATCTATCCTTACTACGTACTTGTCTCATGAAGAAATGTTCATGCTCTGTAGGTCCTTTGCAACGTCATCCCCCGTCACATCATTCTTATCCACATTACTTGAGAAGTATCCAATGCCTTTGCATCCACCTTCATCATCAAATTCCACACCAATAATCTCCTTTGCTACCCACTGTGCAGTCTTGGCATGCAGACTGGGTTCCATCAGCACATCCTTCCTCTTCCCTCCATACACCTTGCTTCTTCCCTCAGCAAGTGCCTGGAACACTACCATCTGGTCCCGCAGGTACTCGTCCACGCAGCCACCATGCTCGATCTCTGTTAACAAATCATCGGACACCTTCTTCACGATGGTGGGGATGATCTGTTTGAGCTTCCCAGCACGGAACCCACGATCGTATAGCCAGTCGCGACCAAGCTTCATGCCGGTGGACGTGGTAGCTACTAGAAGGAGGTAGTAACGTTTGTCGTGGTGTGAGTCCTCGAAGGTAATATCAACCCTATTATCGTGATCGCCCGTATCGCCGAAGAAACGAGATTGGCGTCTCTCAAACATGACATCGAGTTCCTCGCGAAACTGCCGCTCAGTATCTTTGGGTGCGATGATGGTCGCCGTTACACTGGTATTTTCTCCTCTGTCGAGCAACTGAAATGCTGATAGTCTCTCTTTCATAGGCGAAATTGTGTACGTGACGCTGCCAACAGTGGCACTTCCTTGTGACCAGCCCCGCGAATGGATCTGAATGCCGATGTGTGGTATGCCGATAAGCTCCAATGTTGGTATGAGGACCTGTCCACCATAATCGATGGACGGGGAGTTGGAAACGTTGGTGCCTCCATCGATACGTATACGTATCGGCGTTTCAACTCCAGAGAAGATGATGTACGGTAAGATGGCCTGAAAGACGAGATTAACACTTCCGGGGGTGCTTTGTTTGATCCGCACGTCGCCAGCATCGAGTACGCTGTTGAATTGTTCGACGATCTCGGATGGTATGAAGGTGATTTCCTTGCTCTTGAGGCCTGCACCGTTGATGTTGGCGTTGCTTGCCTGGCCTAGCCACTGCACACAGGTCAAATGCTGGGCTTTGAGTCCCCCGCCGCCGGACCGCTTGCCCCGGATCTTGCTGATGCGGATTGGCTTCCTGGTTAGGCTCGAGAGACAGAGGGCGACCCGTAGGAGCTGGCCTCCACCTTCGAGGGTCGTGCCGTCTAGATGAATGGGTATCTGGGTTTGAGGTGTGGACGCCATGGCTACGAACAATGCTGCCGTACGACTGTGCAGCTCATCGATGAGTTATGTGCAACAGGAGAACAGATTCTGAGATGCATCGCTGTTGGGGCTGAGACATCCGTTGATGCCTGGTGTATGAGTGAAGATGACTCAGGCGGTCGCGCCTTCCTTTCACGCCACGAATGAGCCTAAAGGCCACCCGTATGTAGCAGGTGTATATTGAGTCATATTTGCACCTTCTTCGTTTGAGAGATTGAACTTCCTCTGTGGAAACCCCATCGATTTGGCGTGGGGGTGAACAAGGAGATGACCTAGAGCGCGCGAAGCTGCAGCATTCCGCGGCGATGACGTCGTTCAGTCTCAAACATTCAGACAATAGACATCGATAAAAACACTAGGCATCTAGAACGTGATGATTGCAAAGACCCTTGAACGCGGGCGTGAAGTTGGTGGTGCCCTGCTTCAGGGACTCTCGGAGATCGAGCCGCGGCACGCAAGCGATCGACGCGGCGGTCCTGTCGTCATCAGCGAGGCGCCGAACTTTTGATTGACATGTCCGAAGTCGTCCACTCCCACGTCCGCACGTCCACGGCCATGTCGAATGCCTCAATAACGCCCCAATTCCATCTTCACGTCCGGTAGCCGCCTCGTCTACCCCCCGCCAGCCATGCGCGCTCCGCTGGCTTTCTCCGCAAAGGCCTGGCACGGCCCAGGCAACGGAGCCCTCTTTTCAAATATACAGTCGCGCATCTCGACGACAACACCCGCCATTGCGAGATCCTTCGTTACCACACCGATACCGAAAGCTTCAATACCCAAGGCGTTACCGAACAGCTGCGCGCCGTCTCTCTCTGCACCGTCATCCATACTACGACTCGCAGTCGCGGGCACCACACGCAACAATGGCCTACACACACCAGCTCGCATGTTCACGACATCGCGACTGTTAGCCGAAGCCTCAAGCAATGCCAAGCCTGCGAAGCAGCGCATATCATACAAAGAGGAAATCAAACAAAAGGGCATCGTAGACTTGGAAGAGCACGACGGCGAGCCCGAGAACGAGGAACAAGGCTTTGCAAAGTCCGAAAAGGCAGCGCAGGCAAAACAGGTCAATTTGAGCGCCAAACTCAGCAAAGACGGGTCTGGCTCTAGTGGTGCACCAGGCGGCATGAAGGAGATCTGGAGGCTGATCAAAATTGCCCGACCTGAGCTGGGCGTGCTCTCCTGGGCCTTCCTGTTCTTGCTCCTTGGTTCTGGCATTTCTCTCTCGGTACCCTTCTCAATTGGCAAGATCTTGGACGCCGCTACTTCGACTGAGAACACCAATGGTCTGCTCTTTGGTGTGTCGCCATCCATCTTCTACTTCGGACTGGCAGGTGTTTTGACGACCGGCGCTGCCTTCAACTTTGGACGTATCATCATCCTTCGAATCGTCGGAGAGCGCATCGTCGCACGTCTCCGATCGCAGCTGTACCGCAAGACCTTCGTCCAAAACGCCGAATTCTTTGACGCGAACAGAGTTGGAGATCTCATCTCCCGTCTCGGTTCGGATACCATCATCGTTGGAAAGAGCATCACACAAAACTTGTCCGACGGTCTACGTGCGCTCGTTAGTGGTGCAGCTGGTTTTGCCATGATGGGTTTCGTCAGTCTGAAGCTTACCGGTATTCTCGCCCTGATTGCCCCGCCTGTCGCACTCGTCGCCTTTTTCTCCGGTCGATCGCTGCGAAACCTCAGTCGTAAAATCCAGAAGAACTTGGGAACATTGACCAAGATCGCCGAGGAGCGGTTAGGGAACGTCAGAACAAGTCAGGCTTTCGCTGGCGAGGTTCAAGAAGCATCACGATACAACCGGCAGATCAAGAGGATATTCGCTTTAGGAAAGAAGGAAGCCGTGGTTGCCGCGAGTTTTTACGGAAGCACTGGACTCATGGGCAACCTGACCATCATCTCCATCCTGTATGTTGGCAGTAACATGGTCAAGAACGGCGTCATCTCTATCGGTGAGCTCTCCTCGTTCTTGATGTACACCGTCTATGCTGGTTCTAGTATGGTTGGTCTTTCCGGCTTCTACGGTGAGATGATGAAGGGTGTTGGAGCTGCCAGTCGTCTCTTCGAACTCCAGGATCGCAACCCAACAATATCGCCCACCAAGGGTCTACCAGTGAAGTCGGCTCGAGGCCCCATCGAATTCAAGAACGTCAACTTCAGCTACCCGACCAGACCAGCGGTTACCATCTTCAAGGACCTCAGCTTCAGGATTGAGCAGGGTACCAATGTAGCCATCGTTGCACCCAGTGGAGCTGGAAAGTCTACGGTCGCCAGTCTCCTTCTACGTTTCTACGTCCCCAACTCTGGAACCGTGACCATCGACGGCCGAGACATCACCACCTTGAACGCAAAGCAATTGAGGAGGAAGATCGGTTACGTCGGTCAAGAGCCCGTACTCTTCTCTGGCACAATCGCGGAGAACATTGCATATGGCGTACCCAACGCTACACGCGCTGAGATCGTGGCTGCTGCCCGAAAGGCCAACTGCCAGTTCATAAGCGATTTCGTATGTACAACCCCTATCATATGGGAGCCCCGCTAACAAGTACAGCCTGATGGCCTTGAAACACACGCTGGTGCCAGAGGTACTCAACTCTCCGGAGGCCAGAAGCAACGTATTGCCATCGCACGAGCACTCATCAAGAAGCCCGATATCCTTATCCTCGACGAAGCCACGAGTGCTCTGGACGCCGAGTCCGAAACTCTTGTGAACCAAGCGCTTAACAAGCTTCTCCAAGAGAACAACACAACTATTAGCATCGCCCATCGTCTGTCAACGATCAAACGTTCCGACCGTATTATCTGCATCGACTCTGAAGGTAGGGTAGCCGAGGAGGGCACCTACGAACAGCTCAGCTCGAACCCAGAGGGCGCATTCAACAAGCTCATGGAATGGCAGATGAGCGGTGGTGACGTGCCTGCTAAGGACGTCAAGGCCCCAAAGCCTCCGGAAGAAGAGGAAATCGAGCGAGAGCTTGATGAGGAGAAGGAAGAAGCTGCTGGCCGCAACCGTGTCTAGTGAAGCTGCATCTTTATTTGTATCATATCCAATGGCAGTCGTGGCGATTTTGCGCGACTCTCCTGCTTCTTCATGGAAGCAACGGTGGGCAAGCCCGCCACCAACAATGAACCTCCACATAGCACCAGGGTTGCTGCACGCTTGGGCCAAACCACGCATTCCAAAAGCAGAATGCGCTCCGCAGGGAGATCAGAGAGATCGCCCTCTCGCATGGCGCTATTGGAGTGGTGCGATTTGATCACATAAGAACTTATACGATCAAGCTCCTATATTGCCATAGCCTAGGATATAGTTCACGTTCTGACTACCCAAGCATGTGAGGCTTGCAACTACAATCAAACAATCATTCTCCTCTCAACATCACTCTACACTCTGCATAACATGTCGGGACGCTCCGCTAGCTCCATTAGCACCCTGATCGCACCCTGCATCGCCATGTCATCACATAATCAGGTACGACACCACTCATAGCACGCACCACAACCCGATACATGAGAGGCTACCAATCAAGGCTCTACTGAACACACTAGCGTACTCAACGAGGCAATCTCCCCGTACATCGTGAGGTAACGCGATGGTGACGTCATGCATACCGCGCAGTCTAGACCCTCCACACCTAACGCGCGCTGACACGTTGTATACCGTGTAGTCAGACAGGTGCCTATCAACTCCCGCCTGTGAAGTTACTTTTCTTATCCTTCATATGATCACTGTTATTGACACTCTTTATTCGTAAATACACCCCTCTGCACGCTCGCAGGCTATTGATCTTCAGCCATGTCGTCCTCCACAGCCAGCAGTATTCCCAAGGCCAGTATCAGGGACCTCCCCGACGAACTACTTCTTCAAGTCACTCCTCATCTAATAGTCGAGCCGCGCTTCGACCGAAGCGCCTACGGAAATCTAATATCCCTCGCCGCTGCGAACACTCGCTTCCCCGGAGTCATTCGGACCACCTTTCACGAGCTCAAAGCACTTACTCTTCCCCTTCCGAAAGCATTCGCCTTGTTTCGAACGCTCCGGGATTTCCCCGCCAACGAATGGGCGGAGAAAGTCGAGTCTCTTGAAATTACCCATTATGTATCTCCTGAGGCTCGGAAAGCAAACTACGGTGGCGATGAAGACGGCTGTATGCGAAGACCCTGGAGCAGTGTCCGAGAATGTGAACTTCGGCGCAGATTGCGCGCTGGGCTTCTGCGGTACGTGGATGCGCGACGCCGGTCACGAATGCCGTCAAGACAGTTCGCTATCGAGACCGAAGTTACTTTCCGAACAGATTGTCTAAACGTTATCCGGGACACTGAAGACATGAGTAACCACAACAAGCGGATGTGGGAAGACGCGCTCCGAGCAGGTCACAACAACGCTTTCCTCGCTCTACTCCTGCTGGCGCTACCAAACCTAGAAGAATTGCTTCTCGGTGGCGGTCATATGTTGCACTATCCGATGTTGCTCAGGGATGCAGACCCATGGCAAGGACCAATGAGCCCGCAGGTTGATGGGCGACGTCACTGGACCAATGACCCCTCGACGCAACAACTACGAGAGTACAAGTACCTCGCTCAAGTCTTCGAATCCAAGTACTCGCGACTCACCAAGCTGGAGCTGCCATCCTCATGGAGTGGTATAACACGCTCTCGGGCTCAACGAATCTCGCCCATATACTACCATTTCGACGACTTACAGACGTTGATAATACCGGAGTCTGCGCTTCCACCTAGTCACGTCGTGCTGGCCAACGGACTCTTATTCTCGGTACTGCCGGTGAGCCTCAAGTCTTTGACTATTGTCGATTGTATGGTTCTCACGTCGGGGTTTGTGAGACGCTTGCTGAACGACACCGTTGTCGATCCGACTACTTATCTTCCAGGTCTGCGCTCAATCAGTGTATACTACATCGGCCAGCCCTTCTACACGCTCGAATACACAGACATTATAAGCGCGAAAGCACTCGGAATTACGATCGACTGTTTCTTCTTGGACAACGTAAAGCCGACAACGGAGCTGATGGCTTCAGATGTGGGAGGTCAACCATGGAAGTTGAGTACGGACGAGGTATTTGGAAGGGCGAAGATTCCAGCACTAGATCGAGGTGTTTGTGAAGTGGCTGGATATTGGGTGGGGAGCAAGCAAAAAACGGGTCGTCCAACTGGTAGAGCGAAGGAGCATTTTCGAAATCGACGTGGCTAGTGGCGTGGACATCAAAGTCAATGGGCTTGGTCGTCGAGTTCAGGGGATGTGCATTGTTGGCCTTCCGATATATATTTTATCTCATGCTCTAGCTGCCGTATAAGTTCATAGGAACCATTCGAGTTGATGATACAAACATGTTTCTCGTCGCAGTGATGCTAGCCGTTCTTTAAGCACACGAAAGTAGCAGAAGGGCATTGTCATTTGCGTGACTTTGAACCTAGCTAAGATTGAAACAGTATCACGTCTCGGGCCAGAGTAAGCAGTATCTGCAGACTCTACGTAGAGTTGCTAATACCTGACAAAAGATACGTACTAAACAGTCGGAAGAGTAAGAGTCTTCTTAGGACTGCTCTTGCGATCTCTAAACGCGAAAAAAGAGCCCTTGGAGGGGTTGATCCGGAGAGTATTGGACCTTCCAAGGAAGCATCTGCTTGGGGACGGTTCTCAGTCACCTCGATGCTCAGCCCGAGGGTCAAAAGCTCATTATCTTCTTTCCTGTTCGCGGTTTCCTAACGGCGGGGCTTTATTGCAGAATAAAGGCTTTTTGCTCTTTGCGCACTCGTGCATGTGAACGTCAGCAACCAGGCGCGCATGCGCGATAATGTGGGCATACCGTGATATGTCACTGTCAAGGCGTGTCAAGGCGGGGAGAAAGGGCATTGGGGCATGTGAGAAGGCAGCGACTGGCCGAGGCAGCGTAAACAGCGGAACAAATTGCGCGCTGTATGGTGAGTGTTTCGGCGCGCAACATGTTCGCCCTAGTGCATTACGCATCTTTACAAACCTAAATCATCGCGCATTCACCACCGGTAGATAAGCATGTGTGCATCGACCCCGCCACCTACCCGCTTCATGCTAGCCTATTGTAATAAGTTAGACATGTATATATCAAGTACCATAACGCAACTCACCGTTGCAACAGTACCTATCAACATTTTCCATCTCTAACCATCTGAAACATCCATAATGTCCACCCTCGCCGCCCAGAAAGCAACGGCTCAGACCGTCATCGATGGATACAACGCATGGAATATGGACAAAATCATGGCCTATCGAACGGAAGACTGTACACAACAAGTCCTTCCTGCATCGCTAGGGCGACCAGTCATGAACAACACCCAATATCGCGAACGTTTCAGTCAGATGATTCCACATTTCAGGAACTTCAAGGTAAGACGCGGGGTTCTGTTTTGGGATACAAGCAACTAACGTGCCATTAGGTTACTGTCCACACAGAGGTCCATGATGCAGATGCGCATACGTGTATCATGCATGCGACGAGCACAGCCGACAGTGACATTGGACCGTACGCGAACGAGTACGCGCTGGTCTTGCATTTCACGGAGGACGGGAAGCAGGTTACCAAGTTCTTGGAGTTTGTAGACTCGGCTTTCTCCAACAAGTTCTTCAAAGAGCTGAGGGATGCGGGACTTGGACCGCAGTAGACATGCGGGAATGTGATTCAAGAGAGACCTAGATCTATGATATATACAAGTCGAGGATAGAACACAAGGCGAAGAGGTTAGATCGCTGACGTATCCTGTTCTCCATCAGGACAGAGAAAGCTAAGTAGAAATGGATACACGACATCGACCGAGAACATGAGTGCGCCCAGTGTCTTTTCAATCCATTCTACTACGCTGAACCATCTTCACCTCCCTTAATCTCTCCTCCATCCTACCGCTTCACCTCGAAGTCACCTCCAGGCTTCCCCGGCGAATGCACCTGCTCATGATTGTCAAACTCCTTGCCCGAGAACTTGCCCTCGCGAACTTTGTTCTGGTTCTTGTGCGCGGCGATGCTGTGTTTGGTGACGCTGTCGCCGTGGCGGTCTTCTACGGGCTTGGGGACGTCGGAGGCGTACTCGGATTCGTGGCGATGCCCTGGTCGGGTGGTATCATGTGATGCTGGGGGAGGTGGAGAGGATTTAGAGGCTGATTGCGCGGAGGAGGAGAACGTGGAGGAAGAGGCGGAGGACGTAGATGGGGTGGTGGTGTAGTAGAGGGCTGCAGCGCCGGCGGCCGCGGTTGTGGTGAGCCTGAGGGAGTCAGTACGGCGTGTCCAGTTGGTATGGGGACGCAATTCGTACCGCGCAAAGAATTGGAATAGCGATTACTCACCATGTCAATCGCGACGATGTCTTCAGCGTTTCCTTGGTGCGCTGCTCATGGTCTGTCGCATACTGTCTCCTCGCTGCTGGACACCTGGCCCGGCATGGTACGCGAGACAGAGCTCGCAGTGACGTTGCCTTGGTGGTAAACATTATGTCGCTGTTAAAGTTAAAGATGGTGAAGTGTTAACGGACAGTCCCTGCCTTGCATATGTATGCGCCATCTGCCCAGGTGTTGATGGCTGGCCCCAAGCCACGCTACGTCATCGGCTTGTTTACGCGCCTTGGAACGTGGACGCGCCTGCGCACGTGCCTACGCACGCTACGCCACGAGGCTCCTGGAGCAGAGGAAGGAGGCACCTAGATCTTGGCTATTGCTCCTCCGCTCCACCACCACCATTACCACTGTTACTGCTGCGTCTATTCCGCTCTATGGCATCAAGCTGGTCCCATCCTCGGCATGCGTCACCACCACAGCTATACCTCGGTAGCGCCCTGCGCCGTGCCGCAGCGAGTCTTCAAGGACCGACGACGAGACAGGCTTGGACGGACTGCAACATGTCTACAGGTCAACCTTTCGAGAACACCCTAGTGCTGGTCTTCTCTCCTGCGAACGCAGCCCTCCTATGGCGCCTCCCATGCCGTCCTCGCCGCCGTTCTGCTCTGGAGGCCAGCGCAATAGCTTCATATACCACCAAATCACCCATTCCTTCACATACGACCATAGGACAATGAGAATTAGGCTTCCCGTCCGCTCAGCCATATACAAGCATTGTACCGGCGGATTAGTAGTTAGGTGGGTGACCACTAGCGAATCCCCGCTGTTGTATGTTTTTGCACATCCTTCTTTTTGCCTTTTTTTTTTGCCCATGCTACGGCAGTTATCTAGAGCAGACGAGCGGCCTCCGATTTGTATACCATCATGCTTTGGTAGACAAGAAGAACCGCGAATTCAAGCACCCGAAGCCGAACCCGCACCGATACGAGCCCACACCTAAGCCACTTCGAACCTCTATACCTCCAGCTATGGGTATACATCCGCTGGTATATGATACTTTTGTAGTTGGATTAGGCCACTATTCCTGAGGGAATTAATAGCAAGAATCTCAGAACCAACAGTAAGGCCTTGCCTTTTCGTGTGCTGGAGATGGTGCTGAATAGGTACGGTATTCTGGAGGATCGCGAGATGACGAAACTCAGACCGTAAGGCCTCATGCTATTGCGCTTGCTTTCAGGCTGAGTAGGTATCTGTACGTCCGTAAGCTTGCCACAAGTACTGCTTGGCAGGATGGCAGTTTCAAGCTAGAATATCATAGTGTGGCTCCGTTGCTTACGTCCGTAAGCTATTTCTCGGGAGCTTTCGACCGACCGGAGCAACTTTGTCACAACAACAGGCTCGGCCGCAATGTACAGGAAACATCCAAGGACAAGTCAAGTTATCATGGACTACGGTTAATATCGACAGCGAGATAATGATGCCGAAGTAGCGGTATATCGAACCCTGTTGAAGAATCCAGTACACGCGTTCCGGTCGGGCAAGGTATGTGCCTAGGTATATGAATCTGCTTTCTCTTCTCTCTTCTTGCCACACCAAACTTCCATCTCTTCGTCTCGAACATACCAACAATCTCCTGAAAGACTCTTCCAACCTGCACACCTACCTCAAAACCGATCAACATGAGCGAGACTATATCCGCCGACTACCTCGTCATCGGCGCGGGCGCTACGGGAATGGCCTTTGTTGATTCCCTGATTGCCGCTAAGAAGGAGATCACGGTGGCCATTGTCGATCGCTATTCGCGTCCGGGAGGTCATTGGACAGTTGCCTACCCCTTTGTCACCCTTCACCAACCGTCCTTCGTCTACGGCGTCAACTCTCGACATCTCGGAGATAACAAAATCGATCAAGTTGGATTCAACAAAGGCCTTACCGAGGTGGCATCGGGGGACGAGGTTGTTGCCTATTACACCAAGGTCCTGAACAATACTCTCCTTCCTTCCGGTCGCGTTGCCTATTACCCACTGCACAACTACACTGGCAATGGAGAGTTTCAATCGATCGTCACGGGAAAAACGATCCGGGTTGGACCGAACACTCGTATTGTAGACGCCACATACGTGAAGATCACAGTCCCCTCTATGGCTCCACCTTCGTATGAAGTTTCAGACAAAGTCAACCTTGTCACGCCCAACGCTCTAGCAACCTTGAAGCGACCGTACGGCGCCTATACAATCGTTGGAGCCGGGAAGACTGGAATGGACGCATGCTCGTTTCTCTTAACTCAAGGCATTGACCCGAAGAACATTTCTTGGATCATGCCGCGCGACTCCTGGTTCTTGGAACGCGCTACACTTCAACCTCCGAAGACCACGCCCAACCCCGAACAACTGCTGGAAGAAAAGGGCGCTGCCATCATGGGGTCCAAAACATCTCAAGAGATGTTTCACCGCATGGAGGAATTCGGGCATGCTCACCGTCTGGACAAGAGCATCGAGCCTACCATGTTCAGGCACGCGATTGTCACAAAGGCAGAGTTTGACGAAGTCAAGAAAGTCAAGAACATCATACGCCAGGGACGAGTCAAACGCATTGACCCAGACAAGGTCACTTTAGAGAAGGGCACATACACTCCTGTGCCTGACACTCTCTTCATTGACTGCGCTGCCGCTGCTTTGGGAAACGTGCCACCTATTCCCGTCTTCAATGGCAGAAACATCACGATCCAGAACATCAAGTTCTTCCAGCCCACGTTCAGCGCCGCTCTCGTTGGACACGTCGAAGGCAGCTACGACGACGAAAAGTTCAAGAACTATCTTTGCGACCCTTTTCCGTACACTCGCATACCAGCGGAATATCCCACGACCCTTCTGGCTTCTATGAGGAACAGACTCAAGTGGATGGCGGAGCCCAAGGTGAGTGAATGGTGTGAAAAGTCTCGTCTTGACTTTCCCATCATGGGTATTCCGCCGAGGGATCCTGAGAAGGCCGCGGCTTTCAATGCTGGTATTGAGCAACGAGTGAGGGGTCTCTGTGATCACTTGGAAGTGATGGCAAAGAACGATGCCGCAAGTGTAGCTGTAGCCTAGTTGTAGTTCAGAAGTCCTCTTTGAGGCAATTCTTCTTGTGGATCGATCTGTTTGTGGAATTAGTTACGCATCCGTATTCGAAATGAATCTATCCTATCAAAACGCTTCATTGTACCTATATCTAGGCTTGCATCGCCGCGTAACCTCACGTCAATTAGTCACTGTCGGTTCATATGGTCCTGAACGAACCATAATCATTGTTCACCCGTGTTCCTGAACTAGATCGTCTTTATAAGACGACACCTGTGGGAATAGTTGACACCTTACGGGGTAACTTCTTTCGCATTGCACCTCTTCGCGATGTACAGATCACATGCTGTTTTAACATTATGGTAATCTGGAGTCGCAATCTTTCCATCCTGTCAGCAACGGTTTGAACGCGGTCATCATTGCAGCATGACTGCTCCAGTACATAGGTTATGCCAGAAACATGCTACTCTCGCCATCCATCTCTTTGACACAAATTGAAGTGCGATGCCACACTAGGGCTATTGTGTTCACGAATACGGCGATGACGCACAGCGGGTGAGCTGCCCAATCTTTTACAACTTTTACTAACTCGAACGCAAAGAGTCTCTCAAATGATGAAGACCGCAAGTATATTTGCTCGCAGAGAGAGAAAGGGTGATCACCAAACAATCTCCTTCCATCACAACAAACATCATGATTACAACATCTCGAAAAAGAAGAAGAAGAGGAGAAAATCACCCCAGCCTTTCGCAGATCGCGATGCTATCTTCGTATCCACCTATTGAAGACTCTGAACAAAGTCGTAAAGCGTCTCATTGACTTCATCAGCCTGCTCAATATGAACAAAATGGCCAGCATCAACACTTCTGATCTGCATCTTCGGAGCGTATGGCAGCATAGTACGTAATTGCTCCGACGGAATGCCAACCGCATCCCTCTCGGCCGCGATGAACAGACTAGGCTGCTCAATGACTCCAGACATCGATCGAATCTCTACGCTGCATTAGATCATGTCAAATAGATTGGGAACCTGGGATGCATCATACCGTCCTCATCAGCGGAGTTGATACCCCGCAAGAAAGATTTGTACCATCTCAGACCCGCTTCAAAACCTCCCTGTGCGCGGGTGATGGTTTTCCATTGCTCTCGAGTCGAGTTGGTGATGAAGTCATTGCCGAATTCCGCTCTTCTATCAGCTGCTAGCCATTCTTGAAGTGCGCCAATCGTGTTGAAATTCTCCACCATCACTTTCGGTGTATCGGACGAGAACATGAGGGA